CACAAAAACTTTTTAAATCTTTTAAATGTTTTTGTACTTTCTTTAAATATAAAATTGCTTTTAATAAATTTTTAAAAATATTTAATGGATATTTATTTATTTTTGTAGAGGATTTTCTTTTAAAAATATTTTTAAATTTTGTTTTTAATCTAAAAATAGAAAAAATTAATTTTTAATTAAAAAGATATTTTCCAAAAATTTCTAAAAAACAATCATTTTTGGGTTAATTTTTTAAATTTGATTTCTGTATTTTAATTATTTTTAAGACATTAATAATCAAAAAAAAATAAATTTCATGCTTAATTTAATTTTTTACAAAAAATTTATACCTTTTATATTTAATAATTTTCTAGTTTTTATTAAAAACACCAATTTTGGTTTAATTTATTTTTACTTAAATACTTGTTTTTTCTTGGTACAAAAATAATTTGTCTCGTAAAATATAAACTTTTTTAAATAAATTAAGAAATTTATTAAATTTAACAAAATTTATCAATTTTGTCTCGATCCTTAAAATTGTTTTAATTTTAAATAATTTTTTGTATTTTTTTATTTTTGTATTTTTTGTTGAAAAAATAATTTAAAATTTATTTTATTTTTTAATTAAAAATGGTTAAAATATTTTTATTTATTTATTTTCATTACTCTTCTATGTGTATAATCTAACTTTACTTTAAAATTAAATTTAAATTATTTAATTACCTTATTTTATTTTTTATTTATTTATCTCCTTTAATATTTAAAAAAATTTTATTAATTTAAAAATTAAAACACTAAAAATCGTTAGAAAACACAATTTAAATTTAAAAAGTAAATTTCTTGGTAGAACTTTATTCTTAGAGATATATGTAATTTTACAAAATTTTTTGCATGCCGGAAACTTAAGTTCACGTTCAGATGAACGCTAAAATTGGGGGAAAATTTAATCTTTAATTAAATAAAAATTTATATACAAAATTTCCTATTTATTTTTTTTCAATTTCAAAACATCAAGACCATTTATCTATTTAATAAAGTTCCCGTTTAAAGACATAAATTCTCGTTATTTAATTAAAATATTTTATAAAAAAATATTTTTATTTATTTTTATTAAATATAAAATCTCTCTATTTTTAGCCTATTTTCCCCTCATAATATTAATTTTGCTAATTTTATTTCTAAAAAATTGTCTATAGCGTGTGGAAATGCTAAAATAACTTAAAAACTTTTTTGTCCAACTTTTATTTTTCCTATTTTGAGCTTAAAAATTTATTTATTTTTCTTTTTTTAGAATCATTTTTGTGTGTATTTATGAGAATAATTTTTATTAAAAAAATTAATTTTTTTTAAATTTATTTTCATTTATTTTAGTCCACCAACACACAGTCTGTATTAATTTATTGTCAAGTTTGTACTAAAAAAATTTCAAAATATAAATTTAGACTTTTCCACGAAGTTCAATTTAATTAACTAAAAATATAATGACGTTTTTCTTTAAATTTTTAAAATATCCGCCCGCCCATTCCCCAAATTCTCTCAATTTTAATTTTGTTTATAATAATTTCCGGTATATTTACACCAATTTATTATTTTTAGGTGAAGGCGGGGGCAATTGAGAGCAAAAAAAGAAAAAAAGAAAAATCTAGACGGCTGGCGAGACGGCGGAATATAAAATAAAAAATAAAATATATTTATTGGGCGGTCCCTCCCCTTTCCGCTACTCACTTTTAAAAGAAAAGTTAACATTGCGCAACTACTTAAAAAATCTTTTTTTTATTAGTCTCATTCATTTAATTTATTTTTCCACCAAAAATAATATTTAATTTTTTAAAAGAAGGATTGGCAATAAATAAATAATATTTTATTTTATTTTGAATAATATTTATTTATATTTGCTTTCAAATTAATTAATATAAATAAAAACGTACGTATGTCAACCTATCCCTTTTCTAATATTTTTATAAAAATTATATTTACCACACCTTATTATAAAAATATTTTTGGAATATTATGCGTATTTATGCAAAAAATGATTATTATTATATTTATTTTTTATGTCATACATATATTTTTAATAAATTAATTTAAAAAATTAATTTACTCTCAACAATAATGTTGTCGGTGCTTGGAAAAGTTTCGGTCGGAAATGAACCAAAAAAATTCTGGGTTCTTTTGTTCAGTTCCAAATTGGCAATCCTACTCAAAAATATTTTATATTTGGAAAATCTTTAGATATTCGGAAATAAGCCAAAAACTATAACCGAAAAATCCTCGATCTACTCAAAACATATTAGCCAAACTTTTATCTATTTGAAGACTATTAAAAATATTTTTTTAAAGAAAGTATTTAATTGGCTATAATTTTTAAGCACAAACTAAAAAATAAAAAAAAATTATTTTTTGTCTGTGTCTTAATAAATTAAATTTTAGACTATCCCCCCCCCCCTTTTTTTTTTCTTCCCCCAAATTGGTAACACACGTACATATATCTAAACAACAAACTATATTGTAAAATATATTCTTTTATTTAAGCCAAAAAAACATTCTTAATGAAACATTAAATACATTTTACTGTCTCATGTCTCCTTTTGTCAAAATAAAAATTAAAATTTGAGAAACAAAAAAATTTTTTAAACCAAAGAACAAAAAATACAATAGACACGTTTTTAATTGTTTAAATATTTAAATAATTTTTATTTTTAATTTTTTTCACACAAAATAAACATTTATTAAAGAATTTGAATGTGAGAATTTTGATTATTTTATTTTTTAAAGAAAAAAATTTTGACAAGAAAAATTTATTTTATAAAATTAAATATAGTTTTGTGGGAGTATTTTCTCATCATTGAAAAAAAATATTAATTAAAATGACGTTAAATAATTAAAAAAAATTTTTTTGAAATGATTTTTTAAATTTATATAAATTTAACATTTAAATATTTTATTTAATACACCCTAAAGAATGTTGTTTTTAAAATTAATGTTTAAATAGTATTGTTTATAAATTTGTTCCCAAAAACATTCCTAAAATAACTCCCAAAACAGTTATTTTATCCCCAAACAAACATCCCCCAAAAATATTTCCAAACAAAACATTTAATTTAATCTTTTTTAGAATTAAAAACATTTTAAAACATTCCCGAACATTTCCAAAACAATTCCAAAACATTTCAAAAACAATGAACACAACAATTAATTTCTCTATTATTTTGTTTGTTTTCCTCGCATTAATTATTATCAGTCAACAAACACAAATTCAACAAGAAGAACAACGGAGGGAACAATTAACAGTTAATGAAGATATTAACAATTTTGCAGCTAAATTAAATAAGAAAAAACGTTTTCTGTCAACAACAGAACGACTAACAGGGAAATCAGCATTTTTAAACCGTCGATTGCACAAAAGGGAAGCAGATCCTATGGAAGAGCAAAGCTGTGTTGTTAGAGTGCAAAAGGTGTGTTTAAAGTTAAAAATGAGGGTAAAAAACAATTGGAAATATTTTTAAATGTAATTCCTACAGAAGAAAAGAATTTTCCATTAAAGCTCCAATTATCAAATTAACAAAAAATTTAAGTGGGCCACGTCCAATTTTTTGATAAAGGTTTTGATTAACATTCCCTTTCTTCAATCCTCTTTACATTATCTCATTATCTTTACCAAAAAATTTCAGGTCGAAACAACCGTAGGCAAATGTGTCATGTTAAGGGGTGGCATTCGTGGTTGTCAAACAGATTTACATTTGGATCCAGAAAGTGCTGATTGTATGATAGACTGAGGAGGCAATTAGAAAAGATGACAATCTTTTTACAACAATTCTGATATTTAGTAGATATTAATTATGTGCAAAAACCCCTTCCTTCAAAATACAAGGCCATCAAAAGATTATTTTTAAGTTTTGATCTCTAATTTCTTTTATAAGTAATTTCTTCTTTTTCAATTCCCATTTTATATTTTCTTTTCTGTATTTTTACTTTATTTTCTAATTATTTCATTCATTTAAAAAACATATCAACACACCTACAAATATATTTATATAATTGTGTTGATTTTTCTTTAAAAAAAGTTCTATTTTAAATTTAGCACAAATTTATATGTACATTTTTGAAAAGAATTTAATAATTCTAATAAATCTTTTTCGAAGTACTTCCTTTATTTAAATTAATTTCGACACGAATTAATAAAAATTCTAAGTTTGTAAAGAAAAAATGTATTTTTACAATTTTAAGAATTAAAAAAGGGATCTTAGAACTTTTTTTAAATAATTTTTCTTTTTATTTTATACTATCTAATATTTTCATATTCTTTTCATAATTAATATTTTATACGCCAGTATATTTATATATCAATATTTCTGTTGTTTTCAATAAAATTTTTTGAACATTATAGAAATATTATTTAATTATTAATTTTAAACATTTCCTTTTTTAAATTTTATTATAGTCAATTTTGGTATTTTTTTTAATTTTTTGAGACAATTAAATTAAAAAACCAAAAAAAATATTTAATTCTTTTTATTAAAAAAATTTATTTATTTTTCAATTATTGGCATATTTCCGGACAAAAAAACATTCCAAAAATAGATTAACAGGAAATGATGAAAGAAACTTAACTATGTATAGTTGATTAAATATGTAACAAATTTAATTTTGCGTAGTTGTTTTTATAGACAAGGTGCATTTAAAGTAAATGTATACTTTGTTTTTAAAACGTCATAAAAGGCACAAATAAAAATTTCAATTGGGGAAAGAAAAGAAACAAGAAGAAAATTGGGCGAATCATAAAAAAGAAGAATCTGGATTGTAAAAGACCCTTTATGAACGGACGTGTTCTAAAAAATCGAAAAATATCTCAGAGTGATTAGAATGATACAAACATTAACTTGTATCTTTATGTAACAGAAGGTTATTAAAATCTTCAAAAGTATAAAACTGTCCTTTCATAAAGGGCCCAAATTAATAATAAATGCAAGTATTTTACACGTCTTTAGTAAGTACAATGTAGCTGATTAGAAAAAAATTTATTAATAAATCGGAAAGAAATTTGATCCCCCTGCTTGAAGTCTGAGTGCATTAACAAATATTTTTATTGATCCACATAGATCAGCTGAAACGATCACGTCACCTAATGTGCGTTTCTCACTAAAATTTATTTTATATTTAAAAGGAAATTTAAAAGTAAATAACATTCTTTATGTTTTAGAAGCAAAATTGAGCAGTAATAAAATCCAAAACATTAATTAACCTTCCCAAACAAAGAAAATACCCACCGTGGATCATTCACAATCTCTCCATGCAATAATGAAGCACTTCCAGGAATACTAAGTAATGAAGACGAGGAATACCCCAAAGAAGCAGCAACTGACATTTTATGTCGTCGTAGTTGCATTTCCGACAAATTAGCTGCAGGTAATCCAAGTCGACTTGTTAAAGCAAGGAAAGGTCTATCGACGCTTGCAGCTATATGTTGCCTATAAAGAAAAAATCTTTTACTCATTCTATTTCTGAACTCAGCACCTTTGATTATTAATGCTGTTGTTATCAATCCCTTGGGTATTTCTTCGAGTGGACTGTGGAGTAACAGCCGATTCAGTTGCATTGAATGAAACATTATTGGCCTGCTTTTTCTGTTGTTCAATAATCCAATTAAGGATAAGTTGAGGTTTAGGGGCAAATACAGCAGTGGTAACCTTTAAATTTTTTTTTCTTGAAACACAATCAACTCTAAATTAAACTTACAACTGCTTGATGTGCACGAACTCTTTCCCATGCATGGTTCCTATCATTTCTAACAGTTAAAGAAGGCGGGGGTCCAGAAGTTCGCCAAAGATAAATAAAATTGTCTTCAGAACCTAAACAAAATTTATTCAAATTATTTTTCATATTAAAAGAAAAAAACCACCGCTAACAATATATTTTCCGTCGGGCGAAAAGGCGGAACGAATACGACTTTGATCTATTTGAGCACCTTTAAATTTACAACATAAATCCATATCTCGCAAATCATAAATGCGAATTCGAGAATCATTTGACTAAAAAAAATTTTTAATTAATTAAATGACAAATTTTTATAAAAATTATAATTTGGTGTGCCATTATTTAATGTAATTTGTGTACCAAAAACGGTTAAAAAAAGAATTCCGAGAAAAGACATGAGATTATTAAAAATTAAATGATATCACAATTCTGTTAGATTTCTAGAAATAAAATGGGAGTACATTATACAAAAACAAAAAAAATATTTTAATTTCATTTAAAATAATTAGAATGCAAAAAAATGCTAAAAAAAAGCTCTCCGTGACTTTTATTCCTGATTTAAATTAAATTTCCTCTAATTTAAATTTTTATAATTTATTTAATGCAACAAACTCACAGTAACGAGTAATTTATCACCATGAACTGCCAACGAAGTAATTTTGTAACTTCGGCCACGAGCATTTCCTTTCGACGATCTCACATCAATAACTGTATGATATTTTAATTGCTAAAAAATTTGTTAAATTATTAAAACATAATTAATATTTACATCTGTAGAGTAGAAGAAACACCGTCCAGAATAAGTTCCAACAACAACAAATTTTCCATTTTTGACAAAAGTTATTGCTGTTATGAATTTTTTGACCTTAAAATTAATTTTAAATTGAAATAAAAATTAATCAAAAATTAACTTCTTCCACTTCATTCCAAATTATCACTCTTTTTTCTGGTATATTCCATAAGCGAATTTTTCCGTCCAACGAACCAGAAATAAAATAACGATCATCCTAATTAAATTATAAAATAAAAATAATTAAATTTAAAAATACTTTTGGCATAAAAGCAATACAGGAAACAAAATCGACATGTTGAAAAGAACAAAGACATTCATTACGAGTTAAATGCCAAAGCTTTACTGAAATATTTTTAATTAAAAATTATTTTTAAATTTATTTTACCAGTTCTATCCATTCCACATGAAAGAATAAAAAAATTACGAGGAGACCAACAAAGATCGAGAACATCAGCGGTATGGCCACGAAAAACACAAAAAGGGATTGAAGAGAAAATATGATAAGATGATGAATTGGTCCTGGTTGCTAAAATTGGAAAAATTATTTGAAAGGTTAGCACTCATTAGAAGCTTTTAACAAAATTAAGACATCCTCCAAAGACAATTAGAACTGTTAACTCCAAATTAGTTAATGGCTAAATTTCCTAGACAAAAAAATCGATTTCAGCTATTCAATAATCTTATGAATTACAGAATCCTCTAAAAAGCCCACAACAACGAAAACAAATCCAAATTGTAAAAAAGTAGTTAATAACCTTTTTTAGGTCCTGGAACAGTTCCACCATTTAATTCATTTCGACGCGCAGAAGAAGTGGTCGAGGAATCAGAGGACGTAGAAGGCACAGCAGAATATCCAGTTGATTTATCAGTCCCACCAGCCAGTAACCCTCCCAATTTTTTCAATTCTTCAGGAGAGCTTGCAGTTGTTTGTCTTTCACTCATATCTTCCCCATTTTCATAAAATTCGGATCTCATATTTCCAATGTGTTGCATTGCAGAATAATCTAAATTATCAGCAACTTCATGGCCATAACGCTCACGCAGAGAAGAAAAATAATCTAATTGTGAGCGGAGAACCCTAAAACACAAAAAATAAATAAATTGAAAAAACAAAACAAACCAGACTCTAACATTTCTATCTTGACCAGCCGTTGCTAATAATCGACCGCAATCACTAAAAATTTAATTAGTGAAAATATTAAGAATTATTATGAGTTTCTTAATAAAAGTAAATATGTATGTGAATAATTTTTAGAATAAATATTGTCATTTTTTTCAAGAAAATCTAAAATCATAATCGATAAATCCGAGGAATAAAGCTAGGGAAAAATTCATTTTTCAATGATTGTGAAATAAAAAGTTTGTACAAACCTAAATTTAATACACCAAATAGCCCCAAGATGTTCGTGGTTAAGTTCTTGTACTAAACGTAGTTGCTCCTAATAAAAAAATAAAATAAAAATTTAAATACAGTCAAATACTTACAAAATCAAAAGGACCCTTTTTAGCATTTTTAGGCCGACATATTGGCGCTTGAGCAGTATTTGCAGAAGCAGCACGAACGGTGGGAGGTTCAGCAGAATTAGTTAGCCGAATTTTTCTAAAAAATTGAGTAGAGCCAGGGACTGTCACAGGGTCTGAAATACATTGTCCAATAGATATTTCTTCACTATCGCCAGGCTTAAAATTAAAAAAAATGAAAAATAATAAAAAAGACAAACTGAAGAAACTCCATCCATGTCATTTTCACCGCCAACAATTTCTGGTTTTTTGTTTTTCCTTTAAAAAGAAAAGATAAAGTTAATTAGAAATTAGGGAAAAATCAACAGAAAAAGTCAAAATATGAAATTGTTAAAATGAAAGATTTTGACTAAATATTTTTAGTAACAGAATAACCCTTTACAAAAAAATAAATAATAGCAAATATTTTAAAATTAACATGATAAATAAAAATTACGTTAAATTAGCAGCTTGTTGCCTAACTTTCTGTACTGTATTACGAAAATAATCAGACGCAGCCGTTCCATAATTACGAGCAAATCTTCTGATATATTCAACATTTGAATGTTTCTGTGCAAAAACATCATCTGTAGAAGAACCATCATTTCCCTCGATTCTAAAAAAATATTTAATTAAAAATTAAATTAAAAATCAAAAACATACTCATTTTTACTATTAGAAAGTGAAGGTTTATCTTTCAAAGACATTCTTCGTTCAACATCTCTAGTTATCGGATCGATCGATTCTGACTTTTGAGAATCCATTGATCTTCCCCAAGTTGAAGATTTCTGGCTGTTTGAAGTGGAGGTTTTGACCTAATATTAAACAAATGTAAGAGAAAAGATAAGAAATAAAGAAATTGCCCAAAAGTCAAAAACTTTTATTAAAATAAAAAAACCCTTGTCGGTGATTTATCAGAAGCACTTCTCCTATGTTGTTTTTCATCTATTCGTTTTTTACTATTCCCAGTTAGAGTATGCCTTTGTTCTACATTATCGCTAAAAAACTTTTTCGGCCTAATAGAATCTGTTGATTGATCTGTATTTACATTTTCATAATGCGGAAAGCTGGTTTTCTTAAAATAATAAAAATAATTTTTAATCATTTTTATAAACGACATAATCTTAGAAATGCCGATAAAATTTAAATTTTATTTAGTACCTTTTGACAATTTGGAGTTTTTTCACCTTCGTTTTCATCACATTTACTTCTTTGTAAAGAGAAAGACGAACTTTTAGCACTTATTGTAGGTAATATACTTGTAGAAGTTGATGCCCCATCATCCACCTTTTAACAATTAATTTAATTATTTTTTCAAATTTAAAAGAAACCTCTCTTTCCTTGCTATTTCCATCAACAGAAGAATTATCTCGAAGTACTTGTTGAATAACCCCTAAAATTACTCCTTGTGCTTGGGTATCCTTTTCATCCAAAACTGGGAGTATTTCGCTTGGAGAAACACCACGCGTCAAGGAATTTGATTTTGAAGAAGTTGGAGGTGGAAATGGACCTTTTAAATTTTAAAAAATAAAAAAGAAAAAGAGGAAAGTTTAGACCTATTTTCATACACTTTGCTAGAGAAAGACCTCGATCCAATGAATTTGTTTTGGCATGTCCCCGTTGACGACCATAAAATTGTTGGTCTGGACTTGTTGTTGCAGTAGTTTCTGAGGAAGAAGTGACAGCATTAGCTATTTGTTGTTGTTCTGAATTTTTTGGCAAAGGCCTTCTTGGTGGTAATGGAGGCGGAATTGGTGATGTTGGTGAAATTGGTAATGAAGGAGGAAGCTCATTTTCTGGTGAAGTTAAATGATCAGGCAAAGGCGGTGGAGGGCCTAATGGAGGCGGTATGGAATTTTGGAAGGAACTTTGAGAGAAAAATTCGTCACAATAAGAGGAATTAGCCAAAGTATCAACAGCATCCTCAAAAAAGTCCTCGCTATCACTCTTATTTGACATTAGAAATACCTGAAACTTAATCAAGAAAATAAAAAAAAATTGTGAAATTTAAGGAAAAATTAAAAATAAAATTTTAGTGAAGAGCAAAAATACAAAACGCCAAAGGAATTACTAAAATTCCAGCTGTTTTTTAATTAAGCTAAATAATTTCTCCAACTCATCCTTGTCAGCAATAATTGATAAAATTAAAATTTAGAAATTCTAAAAATTAAATAGATTCCAAAAAATAATCTAATTAAAATCAGAAACTAACAAAAGAAGCCCTTTAATCAATTTTTACTTAATAAACTATAATATTTATTTATGCTTCTCGAAGTCTGCGTTGATAGCCTTGAGGGTCTAATAGAAGCTATTAATGGAGGTGCCGATCGAATTGAATTATGCTCTGCTTTGGATGTTGGTGCAGTAACACCTAGTCCTGGCAAGAAATAATTTAAAATTAATTCAAAAAATTTTTTTATTTTTGGTTTAATCGCCAAAGCATCAGAATTTTGTAAATCAATTCCTATTTATGCTATGATTAGGCCTAGATCTGGTAATTTCATTTATTCTAATTACGAAATTGAAACAATGGAAGTGGATATTGATGCTATCCGGGCATCCGGATTAAATGGTGTTGTCTTTGGTGCTAATTTGGATAATTTAAAATTAGATGAAAGAGTGCTTGAAAGGTTAACTAAAAGAGCACAGGTGAGGATGTGATGATTAATTCTCTTAGAAATTTAAGGGAGAAAAGTATGTGATGACGAATTAATTAAATACATATGTACATACGAATAAAATAATTAAGGTTCCATCTTGTGGAATGATCTCATTATAAAGGAAAATTAAATTTTTGCTTCATGATTTTTGTGGTGTAGTGGTATCGTTTTTGCCTACACCTTTTTCTCGTTAAGGTTCGAATCCCTTCCGATCAAAACATTTTCTTTTATCTATTTTATCATTTTATATTGTTTTTTGATAAGAAATTCTCCTTTTTTACTAATTTTAATATGTACATTTAAAAATTATTACTGAAAATTAACCTTAAAAAATTCCAATAATAGTGAAAGAAATTGTATGTATAAAGTTGATTTTCTCAAATATGTATTTTACTTTTTAAAGTACATATTTATTGTATTTTAAGTACTTCATTATCGTTTTTCAGGGAATGGGAAAAACACTTCATCGTTGTTTTGATTTAATTCCCGATATAAACGAAGGAATTGAAACAGCCATAACTTTGGGGTTTGAGAGAATATTAACTTCAGGTTTAGACCTAATCAAAAACTTTAAAATTTTTCCAAGGTTTTGCCAAACGTGCCATTCCTGATGGAATTCCTAATTTACAAAAGGCAGTAGAAATATCATCAGGAAGAATTTCAATAATGCCTGGATCTGGAATAAATTCTGGAAACATTTCTGAATTATTAAAAATTAAAGGATTAAATGAAGTACACTCTTCTTGCTCGAAAATTAACAAAACGAATGATGAAAATAATTTAAAAAGATTAATAGACTTTGGATTTTCGAACGGAGTACCAAGTAGAATAACTTGTGCAAATGAAGTGAGACAATTAAAGGACAACCTCAAAAGAAATTAAAAGAACACGATAATATAAGAAAATTTATTTATTAAATCTTTAAAAAATAAATGTTCTTTCACAATGTAATTTGTTCTTTCACAACTCAGCAAAAATTACAACGTGCCGGACATTGTGCAAGCATTCGTGTTCGATCTGTTAGGCAAAAACCCCTTGCAACCATTGAACCACAATCCATTCTTCCCGCTGGGAAAATCCAATCTCTACAACCTAAAATTAAGAAAAAAAACTTTCACTTTAAAAATTCTTTTCACCCCTTCCTCCACCCAAACGTCTATCTCCAATTCGTGAAGATCTTGGCTGCCACAATCCTCCTGGCTGACGTGCTGGCTGTCGCCCAATTCCCATAAAAGGAATATTGCCAACACGAGTACCTCCTAGTTGCCTACACAATTCAGTACAAGTTCCCAAACATTGTTGTGCCATAACGCTAATCCAAAGCGGATCAGAACATCTATGGGCGTTTGCTGGACAATCAGAAGGACGTCCTGGCACAGCCAAATCTCGACAAATGGGACGTCCTTGCCCTCCTGGCTGAAGACCTCCGCTATTTTGTTTACGTTGACTTCTAGATCTTTGTCCAGGCAAAAGGACTTCCATATTTACGGCAGTTGGATATTGTTGACGAATATCTTGAGCACAACAAATGGGCAAACTCATTCGATTGTCCCATTTATCAAAGCCTTTTGGATAGTTAGCAGGACAATGATGTTCAGTAAATCCTCCTCCTCGGATAATTTCAGGAACTTTTAAATATTTTTTTGAAAGTAAATTAAATGTATTCAGAATATTTAATTAAATATTTATTATAAAATTAAATTTAATGAATTTGTCAAAAAATCTTTTAATACCTCGACAACCTGGAGGCAATGTTTTAGGCGGTTCATCTGGATATATATGTACATTAGGAACATTACCAACGAGACTAATATCAGATGTGCAACAATAATTATTTGATTTGTAAAGTTGAAGTGGTGGAACACAATCTTGAGCACCAGTTCTTCTATCCGATAATGCATCTATGGTATTTTTAAATTTAGCAATTAGATATTTAGAAAGGTGAAAATTTTTTAATTCCCTTAATCCTGCCTCGGGGGATGGACTTAACACCTCAGAAGATTAATTATAATACAGTCGATCTGAATTATGCTTACATTCTTAGGATTAAGAATTGCACCTTAAATCATTTACATGCAGCTTTACCCTCGTAGTGATCAACCAAGCATTAAAAAAGTTTTATATTGTAAGTATACTTAAAAAATACTTAAAAACTGTATTTACATAAAAAAAACAAGACTCCTATACTTTGAATGTATACTTAAAGACCGTAAACCAGATTTTTAGGTCTATCGAGATTTCTGGTTAATTTATGAAAAAAAGTTCGCTGGCCGCTTTCCGCAAAAGTCGTTAGTAATACTTTGATTATGATAAAAGAAAGTCGTCAACTGATCATTTGATAATATGAGGGAAATAGAGACAAGGAGCAGAATGCATCTTAGATATCCCTATGGCTCCAGAAAGGGCTAAATAAGAGGCTATTGTGAACTGCCTTATGCTACGGTTACATAAAAATCGCGCGCGACACGCGACAGTCGCTAGGCGACATGTCGCCGGCGACAGTCGCTAGTGGCGACAGTCGCTAGTGCTCTACAACATATCAAAAAATCAGCATTTTTGACCGTTGATAAAAAAGTTATAATATAAATACTCGATGGCATACTGAATATCTCAAAAATATCGAAAAAAAAGAACATTTTTTGCAAAAAGTATACCTTTTTCAAAATCAATTTTAACCCATAAGATTTAACTTTAAAAATATAAAATTTATATTGATCGATAGAGAATAAACTGAACTTTCAGAATCTTTTTAAATTTTGAAAATCGGATCAGAATTGATCGAGAAATAGCATGTCGCAAAAAAGTGTCGCCAAAAATTCGGATATAGTGTAGTGTACCGGTGGTAAAAGTTCGGGACGTGACATATGTCATTCGATTCGTCTCGACGAGCTGAGTCGAACGGTACCACTCCCTATTTTAGGAAATGATTCTGGACCGAGTTATAGGTCCCTGAAAATCGAAAAACCATAGGGGGGAGTAAGCTCGATTTTGGGGTGAAAAATTCGAATATGCAAATTATACCTCATTCGAAAGAGCTCCTCGAGCTGAGTCGAATGACACCAAAATCAGCTTGATTGAACAAGTTTGAGTCGAGATATAGGGCTCGAAATGGTCAAAAACCATAGGGGGGATTTTGGGGTCAAAAATTCGATTCTACAAATGTTAGCTCATTCGAGAGAGCTCGTCGAGCTGAATCGAATGACACCAAAACCATCTTGATTGCACAAGTTTTGACAAAGTTACGATAGAAAAACTACCAACATAAACCTATGGGTCGTCGGCGAGGCGCTTGTGCAAGACCCCGCGCTTCGCGCGGGGTCTTGCGGCACGCGCCTCGCGGGGAGTCTACGGGCGCTGGGTCTGGGCTTGTAACATAAACCTATTCCTATCTCCCTTGCTCTGGACGTATTTGGGGCCTCCGTAGCAGCAAAAATCTCCACAGATGCCATAGGTAAGGAGCTAAAACAAACGGTCATAATTTTGTCAAATCAAGTCGGATTTTATTGATTTCGGTGTCATTCGACTCAGCTCGAGGAGCTCTTTCGAATGAGGTATAATTTGCATATTCGAATTTTTCACCCCAAAATCGAGCTTACTCCCCCCTTTGGTTTTTCGATATTCCGGGACCTATAACTCGGTCCAGAATTATTTCCTAAAATGGGGAGTGGTACCGTTCGACTCAGCTCGTCGAGTCGAATCGAATGACATATGTCACGTCCCGAACTTTTACCACCGGTACACTACACTACAGCCAAAAATTCAAACATGTTTGAATCAAAAAAAGTGTCGCCGGCGACAAGTCGCCGGCGGAAATCGCATTTTATGTAACCACTCAAAAAAGCGACAAAGTCGCGCGCGACATGTCGCCGGCGGAAGTCGCGGTTTATGTAACCACTCAAAAAAGCGACAAAGTCGCGCGCGACAAGTCGCCGGCGGAAGTCGCTTTTTATGTAACCACTAGAAAAAAGCGACAAAATCGCGCGCGATTTTTCTCTCCTCTTTTTACATTATCTTTTCTGTCGCGTGTCGCGCGCGATTTTTATGTAACCGTAGCATTATGGAGATAGGCGATTAATGAGCTGGACATTTACCGGGAGGTTGTTGTAAAAAATTACTTACCAATACAATAAAATGTAACAGAAAAAACTATGCGATTAAAAATAATATTAAATATTAACAAAAATAAATAAAAATTCTTTCCATAAATTTTAAAAAACATTTTAAAACAAAAATGACAATGAATTTTAAATTAAAAATAAATTCACTAGCAAAATTAAAAGGCAGATGTTTGTTATTACTCATTTTAAATAAAAAACCCTTCAAATTAATTTTTAAAGTGGATAAATCCAAATGACAAAACGAGACAAATAAAAAAAACAAAGAAATTAAACTGCAGTTTTAATCAACTTTAAAATCCAAAATTTCAAAATTTTTGTTTGCATAGCTTTCAAAAACAAAAATAACGAGAAGCGAGAAATCAATTTTTATCCCAGTAAGGGTATTAATTTTTTATTTTAATAAGTTTCACAGACTAATTAATAGGTAACCGATTTCCCTTTTCTTAGAGGGATGTATTTGTTAAGTCTTCTATACTTTTAAAAGATCGCAATTCAACAAATTCCAAGAACAACAAATTTACTACCAAAATTCACCTTGTGAATACAACGAAACAATAAAATGAAATTTGGTTATGAGAAAAAAATACAATAAATATTACTTAAGACAAATATTATATATTATGTACACTATAGGGTGAACAAAACAAAATATAGGTATATTTATATATTTTGTACAAACAAGTATAGAATTTTTTAATTTACTATCAATTCTGGTTTGGACTGTGGATGAATCTTGTCTGTCTAATTCTTATCATCCGACTGCCGCAATCCATCATCAGTCATCACGTTCGGTGTCTAAAAAAGAGAAAATTCATTTTTATTTGAGAGATGTTTGGTTTCAAAAAACTCACTAAGTTTCGGCCAGCCACGGGTGAGCAAGAATGCGGCGGGAAGTCAAACGCCTTTTAGGGTCAGGATGCAGCATACCAAGGATCAGACTACGAACTTCAGCACTAAGACGGTGAGAGAAGTGAATTGACTGGGCTTTTTGACGTTTGATAATGGCCGGGACTTCATCTTTGCTACTGCCAAACGGAAAGAAACCTTTAAATTTAAAAAATGAAATTAAAAATTAAATTTAGTACCCTCACTTGTAAGGATAACATAGAGAACAACGCCTGCACTCCAAATGTCTACCCCATTGCCTCTGTAGGTCCGACCGCTCAGTAATTCAATCGCTGCATATGGTCGAGAGCCGCAGTGGGTATTTGAATCTACCCCTGGCCGAAGTTCACGAGCAAAGCCAAAATCGCCAAGTTTGACACGCAAATTGCTGTCCAGAAAGACGTTCTCGCATTTGATGTCCCTGTGTACAATGTGTTGTCGCTCAAGATAGACTATTGCATCCATCAATTGTCTTAAGATGGGCTTTGCTTCGCGTTCCTCCAAATATCTGTCTGGCTTTGTTCTAATGTAGTTGAGCAAATCGCCACCCGGTGCGTATTCCTCAACGATGGCGACATATTCTTTTGTTCGATGGATCTGTGTGAGTTAAGATAAGCTTTGGGGATTTAAATAAGTTTCGCTTTACCGCATAGGCTGCAACAATGTTGACGTGATCAAGACGAGGAATGATCGCCAGCTCTCTGGGCATGAAGCGTTCAATGTATTCACCGCGCCTTCTGAGGTCGACTAGCTTTACTGCAACCTGCTCATTGTTCCTTGATGACATTGTGGCCTTGTAGACGTGCGAATGCGTGCCAGTTCCTATTAGATAAAACTCAATTATTTTTTAAAGAGGAGGTAAAAAATGCAATAAAGCTCACCAATTCTTCCTTCTCGTCCCTCAATAAGCCTAACACCGTTTGTGCGAAGAAGCTCCTTGATCCGTCGTTTGGGCTCGTCATCCTGTGCCGATGTCGATGAACGTCCTCGACTGCTTCTGCTATTAGCTGGCGGCATCACTATCCGGGCTGGCGGAGGTTGATTGGGATCAGCTTGCGTTCGTTGAGTTGTAGGGAAATTCGAGTAATGATAAAATTTGTGTCTTTTATACCATTTGGAATTAGCGGAATTGCTATTAGGCGACGGTTTCACTGATGTATCTATCTATTGAAAGTCGAATATCGTCGCCATCCAATACACACTTGGAAGACGAATATTGTCAACGAGCTCATTTCGAATTTGCTTAAGAGAACTTGGTGTTTTAAACAAATCACAAAACTCCATTACAAATATTAGTTAGTTTATTACAAAAGCTGAACTCTAAATAATATACATATTTTCTTTAATTTTATTTAGTCTCCTATATTTTAGACTCGAATTTTTTATTAAAAATCATCGAATCATATTTTTTTTATTTTTCTTTAATTTCCTTCCTCAATACCGATCTTTTAATTTAAGCATAAATCCCTTTTCGCGCTCCATTATCCTCAACAATGAACATTTTAAGTCACAAACATATATTTCCTTTTTTGGGTTTTAAAGAAAAAATAAGAAAAACAACACAGTTCTTTTATTTTCTTTTTTAATTTGTACCGCTTCGCACATTTTCTGCATAGAATAAATACAGTTAGTCATAATAATTATATACATTTAGCAAAAATAAGAAGAAAATGCCGGCAAATTTGCCATATGGAAGCAGAGTAAAAGCGGGGAATATTAAATAGAAACAAAAACCACATATTTATGTAGTCCATTTACAAGGATGAATGACTTTTTTTTGGATAAACCTAAAAAATAAATACCTAGATAAGTAGGCTAATGGACTATAATGGCCTATTTACTATTTAATATTTATTTTTTATAATATTTGAAAAAATTATTTATTTTTTCTTCTATTTGCTGATTTGAACAAAAGTTTGAAAATTACCTAAATTGAAAATTTAAAAAAAGAATTTGGTAATTAAATTTCATTTTAAAAACTTCCAAAATTTAGTGTTAGAGTTCGTGCCAAAACATTTAAATGAATTTGACAAAATATTCTATACCTAGAAGATTTATCTGTCAAGAAAATTAATTTATATTTTTGGCGATTTGACAATACGAGCTTCATCTTTGAATTTGCCTAAAATTGTAAATGATGTGTCGCATAGCTAGTTTTACTAAATTGTGTTAGTTATACGAAATTGTTTTTAATTTTATATTAAAATTAATTATTAAACTTCCACATTATTTTTAAAGTATCTTTTTATTAAATTATAGATTTACTGATTGTAAAAACTTAAGATTATTTTCTTTCGACACAAATTTTAATTTAAATATTTATAAAAATATTTATAAAAATATATATGTATAATTTCAGTTCATCGCTTTAATAAAAAAAATTTTTTGCCAAGCTCTTAGCGGGAGCTTTTGCCTAGCCTCTCTTCAAAACCTCTTTAAACGCATCCATTATTATTACAACAAAATATATATATTTTTAAATAAATGTTTATTATTATCAACAACCGGCAAAAGAGCTATTGAAGTATATTTAGTTGTTGTTATTGGCCATTTGCTTAAAATAGTAGTAGATTTTGGTCTAGTATAAGTATTTTCTTTGTTTTTGTTAAAATAAATTTAGAGTGAATTAATAAATGAGGTTACATAAATAAATTTTAAAAAATAATTTTTAAAATTTTAATAATTTTTGTTTTAATTTCATTAAATTTTTAAAAGGGGTTTCCTGACACTTCGAAGCGCTTATAGTCTTGACAATGCTGCTTGTAACTCTAGTTTTCTTCAGGATTCATGGAAAATTTCATGGAAAAAAATCAAAAAAATCATGGAACGAGAAATTCATATTTTTAAATAACCTACATAATTACTAATATTTTTAGTATGTATAATTATGCTTATGTAATCTATTTTTTAAATTTCTATCTTATAAATAATTTTTTTATTTTTAAAAATTTCTATTAAATATAAATTTCTACATATTATTTAAAAAATAATATCCCCAAAAATAACTCAGCGGGAGTTGACTCAATGAGCCATAATAGTAATTGAACGGTCAATGAACTGAATGGTTAAGGAAAAATTGTAATCTTTTTCAATTGTTTTTTGGTTGTTTTACATTTTAAATAATGAAAATAAATTATTGCGTAATTTATATAAAAAAATAAATTCCTTGTGAAATTTTAAGATTTTTTTTATTATAACCATGTAAATTATTTCTTTTTTTAATAATTTAAAATTACATATTTAATTTTAATAAATTTATTTAAAAAATACTTTTTTAATTTTAGAAATATTCTTTTAAATCTGAGAGGAAAAGATACATAATTTTTAAAATATCTACAGTAAATATTACTAAAATTTAAAATATATCTAAATCTTCATTACCAGATTTTATAAAAATGTAAAAGAGAGAAGAGCATTTCCTGATTTGGTAAAAATGCCAAAAATTTCATACTATTATTAAATTTACATAATATTTTTGAATAATTTTTCTGAGTGGAGGTTTTCCACAATTTAGGTTTATTAAGTTACTCTTTTATAAAATAAAATATACTTGTACATACATTATAAGAATTTAGTTTTTATATGCCTCTGTAATATGTACGATTTCCAAACATTTGAAATAACTTTGGTATTTTGTTTTTTTTAATTTTTTTATTGATAATACCCATTAATTGGATCGGAAATCTCACATTTTAAATGTTATTTTCTGTCGCAAGACGCAAACCGACCATGAGAATCGCACCTTTAAGCCCCAAGCTCCAAGTGTTTGTAACTAAGTAAATTGCAAATAAACTTAGAATTTGATTCTCTGGATATATACAGCAAAATTAAATGTTTTAAGTTTTCGCTGTAGGAGAAAACGCCTAACTTAAGCCTTTCCTTTCAGAATTGTTTTAAGCGTCACAGGTGAAAATTTTTAGATTTTTTTGAAAGAATTAGGAATTTAAAATTTGTTTTGCAATGGAAAGGCAAAAAGAAAGTCTCAATTGTCAGATTAGGATTCGAACAACAAATTTAAACGAAGTTTAACGATCCTACCACCTATTCTTTCTCCAAAGTAAAAATGTACGCCTAAACAGTTAATCAAACTTAAAAAATTAAAAACAAACATTATACAAATATTTATATCAAGAATACAACAAATATATACATATACATCTTGAAGGACATAATCAACAGGCAAAATATACAATACACTATGGTTTGGGGTTAGAAAAAAATACAATGGGAATTATGAATCATCCTATGCTCATCCGCTTCAATTTTGTTGTTGCCTGCTCCTTCTTGACAGTCATCTCGCGATCTCTTCCGGTGCTTCACTCCTTCTTCTCCTCGGCAGCAGGAGGAGCGGCGGCAGAATTGGTGCCAGCAGCAGCGGCCGTGACATTGAAGACCACCTCTCCGGACTGTGCCTGAGCAAGGAATGGCGCCTTCGGATCACTCTCTTCAGCAGGCACCTCTGCCCATTGGACGACGAATCGATCTGCGCCAGGAGATCCTCCAGGGAGACGATGCACATCGACAGGCTTCTTGCCATTGGGGTCGACGAAGCCGTACACAGAGCTGACGCGGTAGAACATATTGTTGCTGCATTTGATCTGGAAAAGTAAAGAAATTTTATTTAGTGCCGAGAAATTTTGGGAGATTTTAAAGAGGTTTTTTACCTTGAATGCATGACGCTTGTCCGTTGTGTTGACGATTGTATGCTTGTTGAGACCTCCTTTGACAGAGTCGAAGGTGCTCGCAGGCGGATCGATGTTGAGAGCCATCCTTGATGCGTAGAGATAGTTTGCTGCTGCCGGAACGTTGAGAATAGCTTGTTATTGTTGGCGGGTTGTTATTGGAGATAAATCTTGCGTTTTTATAGCAACAAATCATTATCCTTCTTTGTTAATGAAACTTACTGGTATAAAAAGATAAAACAGGGTTATGTGCTTTTTCTGGCTTCTTACTCTCGTTAACAACACAAAAAGCTCCTTTTCCAGCAATGATTCAACTGACAATAACTTTATTCGACGTTGTTAATAACGTTAATTTTATCCCATTCGATTCACTCAATGATCTCTTTCAAATGGGTCACAATTTTTAAAATTTAATATCCAAAAAGTGTTTTAAAGAATTATTTTAAGTTTTCTTTACAAATAAATAATGTACTTTAATTCGCAAATTATTCAAAAATTTAATCAAAACAAACAATATACTAAATACATTTATTCTTCTCTTTAATATACTCTTTTTCCACTTGTCTCATTTCATTTTATTCTTATCGTTAATTTCTTTCTGGCCTAATAAAATGTTTTTTTATTCCTCAGTCATGGCCATTAATTGTTCGCATCATTGACGGACTCTTTTTCTTTTAAAATTTTTTTTTGCTTCCGTCTACTAAATTTTGCCCATTCTCCATAGCTTCTTAATGTCTTTTTAATGTAAGTATCTCCCGTCTAAATGAATATATTAACTACGGTATATTTAGAAGGGAAATTGAAGGAATTGTGGTTGAGGGGGGGGGGGGGGGGGGTTTGTGTCTCTTATGTTAAAATTCATTGTAAAGTATTTGAAATGGGCCTTGTCATTGAAGAAAGAAAATTTATAAAAATAAAAAAAAATAAAAAGACCCCAAAATGAATAGAAAAATGAATGAATCCGCGGGTGGTAGAAAAAGAATCGGCTGGATGGCTGTGCTAAGTGCGCTTCTTTTGTATTTACTAGTAAATGCTCCTCCTCAATAGCCTCTCGTTTTATATATATTTAGCCAATAGATGCTTAATAGCTTTGGACTAGTATTTTTGGGGCTTTTTTATATTTTATTTTCTCATTTGCCTCAAAGTGGGAATGTCTTTTTTAATGTTTTAGGGGGGGGGGGCTAAACAAGAATATATTTATTTTTTATATTTTTTTTGTTTGGCAGTAATTACGCTTAGGAATTTGGATTTACTAACCTTGGCATTTAAAAACACTAAAAACTTGGAAAATTATTTTGTCTATAAGTTGGCATTATTTCACACAGCGCAAGCAAAAACTTGGGCAAATAATAGTAAAGTCTTTATAATTTAAATATTTATTTTTAAAAATTTTGTTTAGACAATTCACTAAATCTAAAATATAAATTGAAATATAAAAATCTTATAGTACTTTTCTTTTATTAATTTTCACTTAATTGTCTTAAATTTAATCGTTATTTGCTTATTTTTACTCAAATTTAAACGGGGCTGGTAATCAGTGCTTGGCAGACTTTTTGTTTTGCAGTTTACAACAAAAATTCGAGATAGTTAATTACTAAGCACCATAGGTCGATCGGAACTGACAAAGGTACCGGAAATCGGAACTGTCGGAAATCGGAAATGGCTCAAAAGTCGGAAATCGGAATTCCGATCGACCTCTGCTAAGCACAGACACCCTTCGGAATTTTAATCGCTCAGAAACTTACTTGAGAGTCGGGGGTATTATCCTAAATGTTACTATGTGTATGCCAAAGTTTTTCAGAAATACTCGATATAGGAGATGGCTCAGAATTTATACTTTTCCAAATATATGTATTTGTGTAGTAGTTATTTCCTCTTTTTTTCTTCTCAATTCGACCTTCCTCCCCCTTTTTTAACCACTTTATTTTTCTAGTGCCGATTGTGCGCAAACAAATGTCGCGCTTCGGTTACGGGGTGGAAGAAGAACCGCTATCAAGCTAAACGCTCCAATTAGGGTAAAAAAAGGAAAGAAAAGTAAGGGGAAAGAATTTATTTCTACTATGTATTTTAAGAGTGAAGGGATTACTTAAATATAAATAAATTGTATTTTCAATGACTATGTAGTATTAGTAGTAGATGATGAGCACGACATGACAATTGACTCCCCTTTTTCGATTGGTGATGATGGTAGGTAGTTGGTAGGGGGGGGGGTTGTTGGTGGTGGTGGTGAAATGAAGAATAAAATGTTTTATTTGTTGGCTTTTGATTGCTCTTTTTATTTGTTCTCCCCCTTCCAATTTCTTTAAAAAGAAAATTAAATAATGTTACAAAAGTATTATTTTTATTTATTGCCTAAAGGGAATAAATAAATTAAATTAAGCTTAAATAATTATTTAAATGTTTTTAAATGTTTGTTTATGTATACACAGCAGGGATGTTTTTATAAAAACAATGATTTAGGGGATTTTTCCGGAAACCTAAGATTCACATATTTTTTACTTCCTTTTATGGAGAATAAAATCAAAGGACAAAACTTTTATTTTCTAAATAATTTTATCTCGATTCTCATTTTTCCTTCTTATTTATAAAATTTTTAAATTCTGAGTCTACAAGAAATATTAATGGGCGAGTTAACTGCATACTGTATACTCATTAAGGATTTCCTTGGGTCTTCTATTAAATCAAATATCATTTTTATATTTTTTTAATTGTCATTCCAAATAAAATCTCGTTTCATTTTACTCAAAACATTTAAAATTTTAAATCATTCCTCCAAGAATTGTCATTTTCATATAAAAACCAAACTAAATATAAATATACAATCTCTATGTCACAACCTACCATATATTTATTTACTTTTTAAAAAAATTTTATTTCGTAACCAAAAATATATCCAAAATTTGACCCCTTCCTTTAAAAACAATTTCCTCCCGTTTACAAGAGATTTGCATGCAAATTGGCCCCTTTGGCAGAAGCTCATCAAGAGTAGTGCCTTTTTTGGTTGTCCCCACAGTGCTTAATAATATATTTTTACAAATTTATTGCTTGTTTATTGCCTCTCTTCCTTTTTCTTTCTTAAAATATTCTAATCCTTCTTTAACGTCAATCTCTATCTCCAAACATTTATTCTTATGCAATTTGACGATCGGCTGTGAGATTTTGTGAGAAAATATTAAAATAATAGTTAGATTAAAATAACAATTTTTAGAAAAATATAATCGAGATCAAAAATCTAAATATTAGTTTTAAAAAATCATATATGTAATTTACCACAGGGATCTAACGACCCATTTCACGAAAATCGGGAATTTAATTTTTATATCGCTGATCCCTGATACATAACAATAATTTAATCAACTCATAGGCCATAATTATTAATCTTTTCTTTTACTTTTGTTGTGAATCTTTTTAAAATATAAATTTATTTTTGTAAAAGCTTAGATATTAATTGCTCTATATTGCCACAATCCTTCAAGTTTTCTTTAACAAAATCTTGCTTAAAAATAAATTTTTAAATTATTTTAGGTTTATTATTCTTCAAATATTTATTAAATATATTAATTATATATTTTATTTTATTTACTCTCATCTCCAATTTTTTTTTATTTTTTGAATATGAGAAGTTATTTTTTGGTTATTTAAGGATTGCACATGTAAAGAGAATGGAATAAATCCGATACCGTTTTCTCCTCCCATTTCCTCCAAAATGGCAAAATTTCCCATAAAAGATGAACCTAAAAAGAAAAAACCAACAAGGATAAATGTAGTCAATCTGAAAACATCATTTTTTAAATGATCAAATTTCAATCCTATTTGTTCAGAAATTAATAGAACAATTAGTAACATTCAAAAGTATTTAGGTTTAATGATATTATTGTTATCACCGGGGTCTGGATGTGGGATAAACATAGAATTTTTTTAAATCAAATGTTAATCTAATCCTTTACTATCTATAGAAAACTATATCACATTCAATTTACCGTATATACTCTATTAATTACTCTGGGTAATTATTATTTCAACCTCTAGATGGAGGGGGTAATTAATAGAGTATTTATGGTAATATGTATGTCAGTTTAATCCATTTATCTAAATTTATTTTTTTCTATCAAATATCCAAAATTATTATCTACACATAAAATATAAACAAAGGAATGATATTAAACACAAAGGAAGGAAGATGAATAAGAATACAAACTTCTTATGTTTGTATTTATTGTTCTTTAAACAATAAATTTATTTTTATTGACTGTCAATCAAAAGCATTGATGCAAAAAAAAAGAATTAAAAAAATAAAGGGCATAGAATTACAAGAAAAGGAAGGGCAACTTTTAGAGACAATTCAACACTAAGTCGGAACACACATCCAATCGACTCCTTCCAATTCTATCGGTATTTTCCTTCAATTTTTTTATTGACCACCACACACTTTCCTCCATTCATCATTTTTATATGTTCTCTTTTACCTATATAATATTCAACCACTTCCATCATTTTTTTATTGTTGTCAATTTGCGTGTCCTCACACTTTTAGTTGGATTTATTGTCTTCCTTTTTAAATGTCGAAGATGGCAATGAAAGAAGAACAATGGGGGAAAGTATGTTGGACAATAAAAACTACATTATTTTTTGCCGAAAAGAATTTTTGAAAAAGAGAAGAGCTCTAAATATATTTTTATTTTTTCATTAACTATAAGAGCCGACAACCAACTAACAACAATAACCACTCTTCAATTGAGGACAGGCATTTGTAGAAATACCGAGAGAGGGAAAGAATTTTTGCCCTTAAATTTTAGCCGACAATTGGGCGCATCCGTCATTTAAAAAAGGAAGAAGAACCTGGCAATTGACAAATAGAACCAATTATATAAAAGATGGATGACATTAAAGGAATGAAGATAATAAAAGGGAGAGGGGGATTACAAGGTGTGAAAATGATTTTAGAAAAAAATATATACTTTACAGTAATATATTTTACAATTTTTGCCCTTAATTGGGGGCATCCGTCAAGTTATCGTTTTGCATATTTTAATTTCTTAAAAATCTTAAATTAGTAAAACATAGCCTTAATTAAGTCTGAGGTCTTCTAATCGAACAATTTAATGAGAAAACAAAGAAATCAAAAATATTTTTTATTATTTACTCTTTTCTAACAATTGACACGCAAAATTGCTTCTTATTTCCCCAAACATGCCAACATACTTCTTTGGCCTTGGGCATTTAAAGTAAGCAAAAATAAGGGGAAACTTTGTTGTCTAAAGGGGAAAACTGTACTGTGAGATAATTAAAAATAATAATTTTTAGAAAAATAAATATTTAAATTTAAGTAAAAACTATGTTGGATATTTTATAATTAATCTTATATTAATTTAGGTATTTTTGCTTAAAGGGAGAACAACAAAAATATTTTTTTAACTTCTTTCCCTTAAAGGATTATTTTTTAAATTTATTTTTAATTACTATTTAGGGATTTATTTAATTATTATGAAGCAAAGTTTAAGCAAAACAAGAGACGGTAGTAGTCAAAAACACGAGGCTAAAAAACTTTAATCAGGTTTAAATTAGCAAAATTCAATTTACTCGATTCTGATTAACCAAGAGTTTTAGATAGACAATTTTAAAGCATGTGGGGAGGGGTGATATATTAAAATGTTGGGGTTAAGAAGAAAAAAAAACTAAAAAATATTTTCTTTTCTTTTTTTTCTAATCTTTTCACACTTTACTGATTTTAACCTTTCCCAGCCTTGATTAGTCTTGATTTTTGTCTCGAACTTATTTTCCCACACATACCCAAAATTATATTATTAATTAATTATTTAAACATTTAAATAAAAATAAATAAATAAATTTAAATTATTTGGGCGGAGTTTTAAAGAAGTTGAGTAAATGTAAAAGAGAAGAAAAAGAGGAGGATTATTCAGAAATTGACATTGAGATAGACATAAGATACGATATTTGGGGGTGGTAACAAAAATGAGAATATAAGTATTTAATGTTTAATAACATTTCAAATATTTATTTTTATTTTTTTAATTTTTTAATTTTGTTATGAAACTTTAAAAATTGGAAAAATAATTTTTAAAGATTTTTTAAATTAAAAGTAGAATAAAATTTAGAATTATTTTATTTAAATTTTTTAAGAAATATTGGAAATACATAAATCTGTAAATATATTTTAATCTAAATAATTATTTTTAAAAATATTCCTGTGGAGTTTAATATTTTTAATATTTTTATTTTTCTATTGTTGCCGAAATTAGGGCATTTATTTCACCCAAAATTTGTGTATTTATAACTGTCATATTTTAATAAATACTTTTACCTCAAATTATTTTTTTAGAATAATAATTTTATTTTCCTTTTTGTTAACTAATTGGTGTGTTAAATTAAATAAACAAATTTTTGATATTTAATCCAATACTAGAGAATATTTTTCGGACAAATCAGAAAAATTGTCCGAAGACTGGTTCAGTGTATGGATTTGAAATACAACTTTAATTTCGAGTTCGAAACCTTAAAATCAAAAAATATCTCTTCAAAAATCCTTTAAATTCAATTGCTCGTTTTTTAATTTCCAAATTTTCTCCATTCTTTTATTTTATTTTCACTCTATAAAATCCTTTTATTTTAATCAACCTCAGTGGTTGATTAAAAATTTGTTTAATTTAAAAGGCGTTAGAAGAATACAAAAATATTATATTTAATGGACAAATAAATTCAATAAATATATACTTCTACATATACTTGTAATCACTTAAACAAATATATTTTAAAAAACAAAATTATTTTGCAAAATTTTGGCCATTTTTAGTGCGCGCGAGATGATCTAGCTTCTTTTACTTATTTCCGGCTTTTCCTTTTCACTCAAAGAAAAATGGCGAATTTGTTTGGTTTGGGGATCAATTGTCGCTTTGAATTTTATTTTTATTCTTTTTTTTTTACCTGCTAACATTAACCGGCGAGAAATTACAACCTTTATACTTTTGAAATAAAAGAAATTGTGAAAAATTTTTAATAAGAAATAATAGGGACACGCTAGAATATTTTTTTCGGAAAAATTTTATTTTTAGACTTGAGCTATCCCTCCTCATGCTAATTCATTCTGTAAACCCGAATTGTCTAGGAATTTCAGAATCTTTACCCTCTGACTTCCGTCAAACTGATTAGCTCCCCTGTAAATTTCTTCGTGTTATTCACGGATGTCATGGGCTATCCGAACCCCGACCCGACTTTTTTCTCAACCAACGACATCTCTGGTGTTATTTATAACATCTTTTCAGCTCCCTCAGCAAAAATATTATTCAAAAAACTTTTATTTTAACTTAAAAACCAGAATTTAATTAAAACTTTTCCTGAAATATTATTTACACAAAACTTTTTATTATTCAACATAAAATATAAAAATATTTTTAGACTTTCATTGCTTGTTTAAATATATCAAGAATTCCTTTTCCCACTTGACTTTTTTTCTCGATTGATATATCCTTTTTGTTAATATAAAATATTTTTGTAATCCAATCCAATATATCTGTCTCTCAACAATTGGAAGAAAAAGCAATAAAAGAGAAGAAAAATATATCCTTTATATTTTTGCGCTAGTGTTTGTGTAAGCCTTTATTAAATAAATTTATATATCTTTATTTATAAATCCCTTTACATATCTCCAACACAATTTCCCACAATTCTTCAAATATATATCTTCCTCATTTATTTAAAAATAAAAATTTATTTTGTTACAGGTCTCTCCTATATTTTTCGGATAAATTTTCCTAATTTTTAAGCTTCCATTAGTCATTTTGGGAGGGTCTAACATAAAAAAAACTTTCATTTGGATTTTATAGAATTTATTTTTAAATTACTTCGTTTTAATTTAAATTATTTATTCTTTCCCTCCAATCAACCAATTCAAAAAAAAACAAAAATCTAAAATACCTATCCATTATCCTCTAATATTTCGTAGCCCAACTCCAATAATAATTTTAGTTTTTCTAAGAAAATCCCCATCTCCATTCAATTTATTCTTTTTTCTTCTCCTTTTTTGCTTTTAACGAAAAGCTCCGATTATTTTATTACAACATTAACAAGCATAAAGAGATACTTTACTTCCCCTTTTCCTAAAAAAATATTTTATTTATATTTAATTTAATCAGATTCTTTTTCAAAACATTTTTAGATTTTACTTAAGCAAGCTATTTTTCTTAACGAATTTTATTGTCAATATTGCCAAGTATATATTAACAATTGAGTAAACGATATTTATTTAAAGAAAACTTTATTCCCTTCACAAAATATTTACTTAAATAAATCTCTCGTTCCAGTCCTTGCCATAAACACAATTCGAATTTTCCACAGCAAAAGAATAAGGAAGGGGTACACCCCAAGGTACCGCAAGGCCAAGGTCCTGGATTCGACAACTTTGAAGAAAGTTATAGCTCGGCGGACCTTGAGCTCGCGGTACCTTGGCCTGCTCCCACAAGAAAGTGCCAATCTCAACAGGAACATGTTCCAATTTTTCCCGAAATTATTTTAATTTAATTAGCCTTATCTCTTACCAAAATTCCTTTCAAATAAATCTCAAAAAAATTTTTTTCTCTCAATCATTCCCACAAATTCACCTACTAATACATATAGGTATTTGGGTTTTTCTCAAACATTTTTCTATCACATCTTTTTACCAAAAATTCCATACCTTTCCATTTTCTCATTGCTTTTGGCCTTCACCCCTTGTCGGGTTTACATTAAATACATATCCCCCTCTTTTTTGACTTTAATAATTATTTACCCCTAAAGTGTTGTTCTTGTTTATTCTTTTTTTTATTTTCTTGTTCAATTTTCCCACTTTTAATTTGTTTTGTGGCGGTTAATATATAAATATTTTTAAGATGAATTGCTTGACATTGCGCCATTCATTCCCTCTCTCTCTTTTTTTTGTTAATTTTTTTTCTTAAATTTTCCCGCATTCATTCCCTACTGTCACATCATCATTGAAAAAGAATCATCACTTAGAGAGAATTGTGTTGCACATTTTGTGTGTTGATGGTGGTGTAAATGTGTAACTGGTAAATGTAAAAATGTAATCGCGCCCGGCGCTACTTAGAAGAAATGGAGGCGTGAAAAATACTTTTTTATAAATATATTTCCATTAATGGACTCGATGTTTATTGGGTGAATAGCTAATAGGAAAATGAAACAAAACGAGTAAATGGCGCCAGTTTTTGGGGGAAAATGAGAAAAGAGAGGGGAGGGGAGGGGGGCTGAAAGATAGATGCGCACATTGATGTATTTTAAAGAGAAGTTGTTGGCCTTTTTTGGGTTGGTTTTATGTTAAATATTTTTTAGAAAAAAAGGTGAAATTCGAGTGTTTTTGTTGTCAACACCCATTTTGTTAATCATCAAAATGATGGCCAAAAGAGGGGAAATTATTTAGACAAATTTGTGTTGACTTTTAATTTTACCTATAAATTTAAATTTAATTGAGAGATTGTTGGAAAGAAGAAAAGAAATAAATTTTGAAAAAGAAAATTTTAGAGGGGAGAAAACTAAAAACAAAAAGAAGACTAACTAATTGACACTTTTTTAAATAAATTTTAAATTAAAGGAGAGACTGTAGATTTTTGGTTAAAATGTGTAGGTAGTTAATGTTTTTATTTGTTAAGAATGAATTGAAGAATATATGAATTATTTTTTTATAATTCTCAATATTATTATTAAATTATTTAATTTGGAATTTTCTCCATAATTATGACAACCTCACATTTTTCTCAAATTTCCCGCTTTTTTATATCCTAATCCATAAATATTTAAAAAAACTTCTGGCTTCTTTATTTTTAGCTAAGTTAATTATTAATTGCTATAAAAATTAAAAAAAGGTTTATTATAAATTTTCTCATTACTAGGGCTAGGATTTTTAGGCATACTGACGAAATAGGCACCTAAATCCGGAAAAAAAGGCAAAATAGGCACATATTACTATTTCTATATTTGTATTTTATTAATTCTTATATCAAAAATAAAAATAAAATAATTTTATTTATTTAAAATTAATTAATTACAAATACATATCGTTTCCATTTAATATTTTCTCTTATTGGTTCCTTCTCAATGTTACGCCCCTTCTCTTTTAAATCTTCTTATTTTCTCCCCTATCTATATCTACTAAATAAATGTAATATGTACTTCCTTCCCTCCTTTTTTATTTTTCTTTTTTCTGTTAAAATATAATTTTTTATTCAAGAAATATTTTAGAGAATGTGCCATATTTTTAAATTAAAAAATATTTAATTTAAAAAATTATTTAACTTCCAATGGATCCAGAAAAATTTAAACAATTTTTCACAACTTTATTAATTGCCAAACAACAACGAATTAAAAATGTTTGTGAATCTGGGCAGGAAGAAAATAAACAAGAAATCTTAAACGAAGCTTCTTGTAGTGAACAATTAAAAGAAGATGAAACAACAAAAACAACAACATTTACTCCCCCTCCCAATCCTCAATCTCCTCCTAGCTCAAAAGGTAAAAAAATATTTTTTTGAATTTAATAAAATGATAATAAAAAATAAAACGGAAATGAATATTTTTGTCATTAAATCCAAATTATAAAATTTAGTAATTAATTTTGATAACTAGAATAAAATTTTACAAAAAAAAGGATTTTGGATTTTTAAAATTTAAATTTAACAAATTTATAAATTTGGATAGCTAATAGGTGGAGTTCTAAACGATATTCCTAATAATGGATACACTCAATTCTCGATATACTTTTTTCATCCCTATGTGTTTAAGTAAAATTTAAATTCGACAGTTTAAAATACATCAAAAATTATTTTTTTATCAAAATAATTTTATTTTTTATTTAAAATATTTAACAGAAATTGAAAACAAAAATATTTTCAATTCAACATCAACATCTGTTGCTATTAGCAATGATGGTATTAATGAAGAACAACCATTATTGCCCATGTCGCAGCAAAATTTGCCGGCGAGAGGGTATACCTCAATTAAATTTGAAGAAGACAATGAAAATTTAATAAAAGAAGAGGAGGTTAATGTGCCGAATATTTTTTCTCCTCCAAATGAAAAGGAAGAAGAAGAATATAATGAAAATAATAATAAATCTGACTGTAATACAGAAGAACAGACGGGGAATGGGCATGAAAATATTAATGATTTAAATGGTGGAAATGGAAAGGCAAAATATAGGTGTGGATTTAGGGGAAATTTAGTATATTTTTAAATAGGAAATTTAGATTACGGATTGAATACAGTTAATATTTTAGATTAGACTGAAGAAATGAGAAGGGTATATTGTAAGAGTAGTAAATGCTCGAATAATTAGCCTGGGTAATTATTTTTTCGACCTTTTGCTGGAGGGGTAATTAATCGAGAGGAGGTGATAAATTTGGGGTATATCTCAATAGATGAATGGATATCCCTTTGTTTTTTTCAAAATCGGACGGATATGAGCTCCAATTCGTCGGATATCCTCCGTGCTTTCTGAGATAAAATATCACTAATTAAATTTTTAAACATCGCTGGATAGTTACACAAATGGGGAAAAATAAAACTTATGAGATTAAGACGTGTCTTATCCTTGAACTAATTTTAAAAATCTTCTAAATCGAAGAAAAAATATTTTAAAATATTTATAAAAAAATATCAGAAATGGCCTTTCCCGTCGTTTTTCAAAATTGTCTTTAAATAGAGTTCAAATTTATCCAAAGAAGCCTCCAAGGAAGAAAATGTTAAGCTCTGGCCCCGAGTTAAGGTAAAGTAGATTTATTAGGTGATTAATAAGAAAAGATTTATTTAAAATCTAGTATTTCCAAGTAATTCACCTTCAAAAAATATTTTTTTCAATTATTTTTAATAGTTATTCCTGTTCTCCAACTGTTATTTGTGAAGAACATCCACCACCACCACCAATAACATCTCAAACACCTACAAGTCCCTCAAATAATCAAAAAGAAATTAAAGATGAAAAACAAATTATTAAAGATAATGAATCTAATAATAATAATAATTTAAATTCTGAAAATAATTTGTTAATAAAATCAGAAGAAACACAAAGAGCACAGGCTATTTGTATGCAAAGAATGCTTTTTGCTATGGCTTGTGCTCAACAACAACAAATGCAGAGGTAATTTATTTTTAAAAGAAATAATTTAAATAAAAATTTGATTTTTATTTAACGAAAAAAAAACGTTTAAAAAATTTTTTGAAAAAAAATATTTTTTCTTTAATTTTTTTCAAATTTTTTCTCTCTCAAAAATGTCTTTTGGTTATATTGTTTATATTTTTTCTTTTTTAATTTTCATTTATTCTTTTGTGGTTAAGTCGGTAGTGTTCTTGTCTTTCCGTTTTGTCGCAAGCTGTGATTATTTACGCATATCTGACACCTCTTATGTCAGAATCTGTTTAGATTCGATGATTCTGTATATGCTAAGGAATTTATGAGCTTGTTGAAATTTTAATTTTTATTTGTATTTTTAATGAGATAACTAAATATTTGCAAGTCTTTGCTTGTTCTTCTCTTCCTTCCGAATTAAATATTTTATGAAAACCGAAGATTAATTCATCCTAAATCTCCATTTATCCACCCATTCAAAATTTTTAAAATTTTTCAGTTCTTTATATTTTTTAAATTTACCTTGTTTTGCCTCAAACTTAATTTAAATTTAATTTCTAATTTTCAAAATCAGACCTTCACGTTCATCAATTAGTCCTTCTAATGGATGTGAAAAGTCTACATCTATACCAACATCTAATAATCGTGAACAACAACTTCCACCTGGGACGAGTTCAAGTGGACTTTTCCCTTCTGGCCCAGTATTTCCTCCTTTTCCAATGGCTGCTGCAGCTGCGGCAGCTTTTTGTGGAATTAATTCAAATACAATTGAACAGGTTTTTGATTGAAAATAGGGAGGATTTTCTTTAAACTTTATCAAAAAACAGATTTTAAAAACCTTTGAACAATTGGAAGAAGCAAATGAAATTGAGCAATTGGGACGTTTTTTGTTTTCATTACCTCCTCCACTTCAAATAAAGATTGGAATGACTGAACCTGTATTGAGAGCTAAAGCTTTGATTTGTTATCATAGTGTAGGTTTTGATAATATATATTAAGAATATTATGGAACAATTTTGAAGGGATTATCAATTTAAATAATATTTTTTTGAAGTAAAAGATGGAAAATGAAAATAAGTATTATTACATGTTTTAACATAAATATCTCCTCTATAATAAATGAGATATTTAACAGTTTCTTATAGGATTTCCGGTACTTATTTGGTTCCCACCAGTCAATTTTTTTGTTTAGGAGGTACAAAATGGTCAATGATTAGCAGATTAATAGAGCTAGTAGATCATTATAATGCTAGATCATCGGGCTGAGCCTAATGACATAAGAATCGGTCCGTGGGGGCATATCGATTTGAGTTGCAAGGGTCGAAAATTGTCAATATTTTGATCAAAAAATTGATTTTAAACCGGATTTCCCACATATTTAAGAATTAAAAACCTAAATGTTTTTACTCTCCAATTCATTTATTTATTTAGGGTAACTTCAAAGAACTTTATAATATATTAGAAAATCACAAATTCTCTCCTAATTCTCATTCCAAATTGCAACTTTTGTGGCAAGAAGCCCATTACCAAGAAGCAGAAAAAATTCGTGGAAGGTAAAAAATAAATAAATAAATTTTATTTATTTATTTTCAATTTTTAAGAGGACTTGGTCCAGTAGATAAATATCGTGTAAGGAAAAAACATCCTTGTCCACCAACAATTTGGGATGGAGAACAAAAGACTCATTGCTTCAAAGAAAAAACAGTAATTGTTGTCTTAAATTATTTTTATTTAATTTTTTGTAGAGAACAATTCTAAGAAAGTATTATTTACAAGATTGTTACCCGAATCCTGCAAAGAAAAAAATTCTTGCCGAAGAAACGGGACTAAGTCCAACACAGGGTGAATAAAAAATTAAAAGTAATTTTTTAAAAATTTTAATTGAAATTAGTTGGCAATTGGTTTAAAAACAGACGTCAAAGAGATCGAGCAGCTACTCATAAACATAAGTAGGCAACAAAAAAAAATATTTTTAAATTTTATAACACCCCTTAGAATGAGTGCAAATATGTTACCTGCCGGCCTTTCCCTATCAGGAAAATTATCTTCAACAAAAAAAGCATCAAAAAGTGGTTGTTCTTTTGAGGATGATGAACAAAATAATTTAACAAAAAATTCAATGGATATCGATTCTAATTCCGAAAATTCTGAGATAATTTCTGATGAAAATTGTGGAGATTCTTTAATGTCGAGTTTGGATGAAGAGAATGAATTAAATGAAAGGGAGGAAGAAGGTGATCAGAAAAAGGAAAATCCTATTAAAAATGTTGGCTTTAATGGAATTGCTAGTAAGTTGAAAATTTATTTTTAAAAAATAAAGAAAGGGAGACCCTCTTTTATGTCAAAAAATGTTGAAAGGATTTCTTTACTTTTATAAAAATTTTCTTAATAAAACACACAATTAATTTTCTCTTTTAAAAAGATTTACTCGGCCTTATCCATCAAAATAAACAAGAACACCAACAACAGAATATTCCAGTAACCCCCTCCCCCTTTCCTCCTTTCCCTCCAAATTTTTCTGCCAACGGAACAGCTTTGCATCCAATGCAAATATTGATGCTTATGCAATCAGCTGCAACACAACATGCTTTATTCCAACAAAGACAACAACAAACACAACAAGTATTGAGCCAAAATGAGGTGAAAATAATTTTAAAATTAGCGTTGATTTAATAATCATAGAAAGGAAAAGCTACGGAAAATTTTAAAAGTTTCCTCTCTATGTATCCAAAATTATAATTTTAAACAAATCACCTTCTTTTGTTCAAATAATTCCAAATAATTCCAAATTTTCCAGACTTCCTCTTCAACATCAGAACATTCTCCAACCTCCACCAATTCTTCCCCAACCCAAAAAATGATAGAAAACAATGGAAATAAATTAGGAAAGAAACCTCATCAGAAAAAGAAATCAGGAAATGGACCAAAAACAAAACCTTTTAAATTATCTATTGATCAAATTTTAGGCCAAAAGACTTCCGGATTTTTATAATTTTAATTTGTAAAAAATATTAGGGTTCTTCTCTTCCTTCATCCTTCCCTCAATTTCTAATAAAATTATTTTTTTAAAAAAGAATTAAATTTCATTCCCTACCAGAACCCTAATCATAATTAAGAGCAGTGCTTAGACGCTCGTACCAAAATTCAACTCGTTCTTTGGTACGAAGTACGAGTACGAGCAATTCTGAAATTTCCAAGCACTGATTAAGAAAACTTTTTTATTTTTAACATTAAACAAAAAAATTATTCAAATTCTTGTTATTTTATAATATTTTAGAATAAAAAATTTAAAAATTTATTTTAAAAAAATATTTTTTTAAAAATTCTTTTTTATAGTAAATCTTTACATTTTCCTTTGTGTGAAGATTTTGTATCGCAACGGTATTTTCCTTTAAAATTCTGAAAAAAATCAGAATTAATTTCTAAAAAAATTTTTTTAAATTTACCCCATCATTACACCAAGCACATTCAGAATATGCCTGTGAAATACATAAAGAAAATAATAAATTTCCTTGACAAATTTGTTGTTTTGCTTGTTCCTCGCTAACAACACCTTTTGGGGCAGATAATGTTTTCCCTGTTGTTTTGGCCAAAGAATTTTCTTCAAAAAATTATTTTTTTAATTTCAAAGAAAATATTTTTCACCAAAATTTTGAATTAAAAATATTCCAATAATAAACAAAAATAAATTTAATAAATGCATTTTTTTGCTTGAATTGATAGAAAATAGAACAGAAAATATTTAGATAAATATATTAATGAACATCCTTCAAACAGCTGGATTGTTTATAAGAGGAAATTAAAAATCAATGAGAACAGTTGTTCCCGGTAAAATAAAATCTCGAATTTTTTTTCTAGTACATAAATAGATATGTTCAGGATTTTTTGTAAAATTAAGACATGGAGGTATTGAAAGCTTTCGGCCTTTCTCAAAATGCAGGAAATTATGCAATTTAATTTTTAATTATTAAGTAACAAAAAATTAAAAAAATATGCCTAATTATGGAAAGTAAATATAAAATCGAAAACAACAAACACATAAGTAGGCGCACAATACCTGAAGTGAATATTGTGCGTTCTTGGGTAGAGGAATGCTGTAAGACCAAAATGACGAGGGCTCTCGAAAAATATGAAAATAATTTAGTACAATTCCTATAGAAGCACATTCACTCCCATTTTTCAATCCTCTAAGTAGGTCTAATAATAACTAACTTAAAAATAGAACTGCGGTTCTAATTATGAATTTCACTGTACATAGTTAAAATTTGGTAAACAAATTTAGTGAAATGTGTAGGTTGTGTATAAAAGCTGATAATTTTCAATTCATACAACAAAAACTTCACCTAAAACCTAAACAGCTCATTTCTCAAACGCTCCAATGGCTGATAAGCGTAAATCTAGCTATTCCAAGAAACGGGAGTCGTCCTTGACAAAGAAGGATGCTCAGGACAAGATCAAAAAGCTCTTCGACCAGAAACTTCAAGGGGCTACTGGAAGTCAGCGAATTACTGTTAGTTCTTAGACAATTTTTTGAGAGAATTTGCTTGAATTTTCAGGTCTCAGCAGGAGCTCGTTCAAGATCGACGATGGCTCGAGAATCGCGTGCGATGTCTGCCGTTGGCTCCAACAAAATGTCAGTAAAGAAGGATAACATGGATTCTAATCAGAGGGCAGAGGCTGGTGCTTTGGAAGCTGTGAGTTTTATTGAGGGTAAAAATTTGGGAGATTGCTAGGATATGGGGTATCTGAACAAAATAATTTTTCATTTTTTATTTTCAGCATCTACGCGCTATTCAGCCTTTCAATGAGTGTTGGTTTGTTGAAAGCACAATCAGTGCTGGCACATATGGAGTTGCTTTTCGTGTGTTACACAAAAACGAAAAGACTAAGGCAGTCATCAAAGTTGCGAGAAGTTTGTCTGGAAGTGCCAATTCTGCTGCTGAATGGGAAGCTTTTGTTCTTGAGAAAATGTGGAGAAGGGTAGGGAATTTTTGACATTTTTTAAAGACACCCTTAATTTTAAAGGAGCCTGGAGCGAATGTTGTGCGTATTTTGGACAAAGGAATGCTTCAAGATCAAAATGATGAGGCTCTCGAATTTATGGCTTTGGAATTCTGTGACACTTCTGTGCGTGAATACATTAATGGGGCCAAAGGATTTGAGCGTAAAGAACGTGTTTGTCGTGTGGCTTTAGGTTCTCTGAAGGGATTGTATGATCTCCACGCCAACGGGTTTTTGCATCGTGATATGAAGCCAGGTGTTTATTTTTTATAGGGATTAGGGTAATTTATTTTCTGCGAAGCGTTAGCAGCCTTTGATAGCTTTCAATGCACTGGGAATTACCCTAATTATACTTAGCCTTTTTAAATTACCTTCTTTTTCAGATAATATGGGAATGATCACTAAACCCGATTTGGATCCAGTTTGTGTTCTATACGATCTTGGAATGGCTAGAATGTATACAGATGGAGACGGAAATGTGAGAGAAATTTAAAATATGTATTTTATTTAATCTTTATTTATTTCAAAGTTGCGAACACCTCGAACAATCTGTCCATTTCGTGGAACTCCTGAATGGGCATCTGGGCATTCAATCAAAGGCAGAGAACAGGTAGAAGAAGAAATTTAAAATTAAAATTCCCTTAATTATTTTAGACTCGTTTTGATGATCTTGTCGGTTGGTTCTATGTAATGGTGGAGCTGTTTGATCAGTCAATGATTGATGATACCTCGTTGCCATTTCCTTGGGATTTTGTTACGGATAAGAGTACTCCTGTGAGTTTTTTAAAAATTGAAAAAAATACATTTCCCCTTCTTAAAGGCTATGCGTTATCTAAAGTCGATTTATTCGCCTGCTCGTCTTTTGCTTAAACGATGGTCAGTTTTAAATTGCGAAACAAAAATCGTTGTATTTTTTAGTCCACCACAATTCAATTCCATCTATATGTATTTGATGTGTGCTAATCGAGGTAATGCTCCTGACTACGATTATATTGCAAATCTTGTCGGAACTGCAATAGAGCTTAGCAAGGCTTATAGCATTAAACAAGAAGAGGAAAAGGCTAGCCTTAATAATGGAAATGATGATGGTGAGGAAGGTGAAGATACTATTGGAGAGGAAGTGGCTAAGAAACCTAAGGGAAAACGAAAGTCTGCAGAGAAGACTGCAAAAGAAGTAAGTAGTAAATAAAGGAAGATATTGAATATATGTATTGTGTTTGTTGTATATCTATTATTCAAATTCTAATTGTAAATTATTTTTCTCTATACTATATTTCCTTTGTCTTTCTGTAAATGTAATTAGTAAATATATAAATTTTTTGTATTTTGATAATTTTTTATAAACGTATTTTGGCACTTTTGGAGCTTAAAATAGAATTTTGAGAAAATTTTCGGATTTAAATTTGTGGCTCTGTTTATGATTAAGATCGAGTTATCGAAATAAATAACTTGGTTAACTGTAGAATTGTTTGCCTTGAATTGGTTTTTATTGGGAAAAAAATTTTATTTTGGCATAATGTTTTAAATTATTTCACGGCGGGTCCACCCTGTTGACGCACGCGCGAAAACTACTTAGTTTTCTATTTCTCCTTTCTTTCGTTCTCTAACTGTCTCTCTTTCTTTTATGCACTCTTTTTTTGCGACTGCGAGAGCAAATTTTAATAAAACTTTGAAATCCCATATCTCGAAAACCGCTTATACGATTTAAAATTTGTCTATATATTTTATAGATAATTGTGTCAAGATTCTCTGAAAAAAATTTCAGAAATTTTAATGCAAAATTCACAGAGTTGATGCAAAACTAGCGCAGCCATCCCCGTATCTGGATAAATTATGTATCATTCGAAAGACCTCGGTGAGCTGATTCGATGATACCAAAATCAAGTACCGATCATTATTATGGGCTGAGATACAGACTTTTGAAAATCGAGAAACAAAAGGGGGGACCAAGCTCGAAAAATTCGATTTTTCAAATTATATGTCATTCGAAAGAGCTCGTCGAGATATGTCGAATGACACCAAAATCACGGCTCAATCAAAATCATGAGCCGAGATACAGACTCCTAAAAATCGAAAAAATCGTATTTTGAAGAGCTCATAACTTCGTTAAAAATGCATATTGGCTTTTCAAACTTTGTAGGATTGTTTAACTATTATAGGCCTATAAAAATGCAAAATTTGAAAAAATTCGGCATTGAGGATCAAAAGATATAAATTTTAATTAATCCCTCTAGTAAATGAGAGAAAATGTCCTTCTGACCATTTCTCTTGTTTCCAATTAAGTCAGACGCACGAGAGATGCAATAAAAAAAGGAGAGTAAATAGACATTTATTTAAATTTTGGCGTAATGTTTAAGGAAAAGAGTTAGCTAGTTTTCGCGCGTGCGTCAACAGGGTGGACCCGCCGTGTTATTTTATTTTGCAAAATAAAAAAATTTTTTTGGGAAGGTATTAAAAATCTTCGGTTTTATTTTTCTAATCCCAATTTAAAATATATTTTTTTTAATTTTCAGCAAAATGTATTTTAATTTATCCTTTTTATTTAACGAATTATTACATATTTTATTAATTCTTTTATTGTCAATTGGACCTCTTTGTTTTTACTTTTTGTTGGCAATTTTCTCTCACAAATTTCTCAAAAAACGTTTTTCAACCTAAATTAATTCAAAACCAGAACAAAAATTTGACAAAAAAGTTTTTTTAATTTAAAAATAAATTTTAAATTTAATTTTTAAAGGAATTATTAAATGCTTATTTAATTTTTAAATCAACAAATAATTGGCAAAATAATAAAAGAATTGAAGATGCTTTGAATTTAGCTTTGCAAGATAATTCTGAAATATTTTTTAGAATGAATTTGAAAGAATGCCCAATTTGGAAAGAAAATGAATTGCCTAAGGAATTTATTGAAAATGTTAAAATTTTGGAGAAAAATTATAAAATGATTGTTAAGGAAATGGAAAAGGTTTGTTTTTTTAATTTAAAAAAATAAAAGAAATGGTTACTTTTTTGTTATATGACTTCAAATTGAGTGCCAGCCGGCTTTGATTGTCTATAACTTTTTAATCCTGATTTATCAAGTTGGAAAAAAGATACCCTTATCGAGGTCTTTCGAATGATATAAAATTCATTTTTATTGGATCAAGCATTAAAAAGTTCCAGCCTATCAAAATTCTGCTGGCATTCAGTTTGCGGTCGTATAACGGAAAATTGCCAAGAAATGTTTAGAAAATATTTTTTCGAATTTTCTTAATAAAAAATGGACTTCTGGTTATTCAATTTTTTATTGTGACATTTTGTCCATTTTTACTTTAATCGGAATTTTTATCTTAATCGGCTTATTTTTTACTCTCAAATAATTTTTTATAAAATCAATATATTTTTAAGGCATTTAAAACGGGACATCTTTGGATTAAAAATGAGAATATTCACACCAAAACTAGTTGGTTTACTTATTTTTTGATTAAAGATGGAAATTGGCAAAAGGAATGTTGTAATGAATGTCCGGAATTGGTTAAATTGTTAAAGGAATTTGATGAAGGTTTTTTTAATTTTAAAAAATTTTTGAATAGTCCAAAACTTAGATATTTTTTAAAAATATTTTACAAAAATTTCTGATATTTTTTGATTAAATATTCAACAAAAACAATTTTTAAATAAATATTTTTAATTTCTCCATTTTTTCCAGATTATTTATTAAATAATTGTTCTTTTGGAAATGTCAATTTTTCCATGTTGCCCGCAAATTCAGCAATTCCGGAACATATTGGGACAACAAATGTTAGATTAAGAATTCATTTTGGATTAGAAATTCCTTGTGGAAATGAAAGTGAAAATTGCTTTATGAAAGTTGGGAATGAGGTTTTTTTGAAAATTATTTTTAACGAAAAGAACGTTAAAAAAGTTTTTAGAAATTTTTAGAACGCTAAAAAGTCTATTTTGAGCGTCTCTATATTCTAAAAATAAAAAATGTCTTGAGAGGTTTTTGAAAATTAATTTTAACATTTCTAAATAAATAATTAACCTCAAAAAAATTTTTAAATATTTTTTTCAGAAATTTCATTGGACTTCAGGCAAATCAACAATAATCAACACTTCTTTTTTGTTTGTTTTTATTTTTAAAATTTAATTTTTAATTTATTTTTTCAGTCATTCTGTTTCGTCTGTTGGATGTTCTGAAGACAGAATTGTTTTAATTGTTGACTTTTGGCATCCAGAATTGACTAAAGAAGAAAGGGGAATATTAAAAAATATATTTCCTCCAAAAAGTATTTCTTAATTATTTTAAAAAGAATGGATGGATGGATCTCTTTTTTTGTTTTTTAGGAGCTTTAAGTAAAATTTTTATAAAATTTTTGATTTTTATTTTAAAAAAATTATTTAAATAATTTATATCAATTAAATTAGGGTTCGACACAACCGTTTATTAACCGGTACCCCCGGTTTTCGGTTCTGAGATTTAGTCAAATACCGGTTTTATTTTGTGGTTATTTTCAATAAAATCACTCATTTTCAGAAGTTTTCGGTTTTTAAAATTTCAGAAAAACGGTTAGTTTTTGGCAAAAATTCTCAAAAATTCCAGTTTTAAAACTGGTCGTGTCCAACAATAAATTAAATAGAAATAAAATTTAAAAAATATTTTTAAAGAAATATTTCTAAAGAAAAAGGAATTAAATTAATTATATTTTTATAAAGAAAATAAAAAATATTAAAAACAAAATTTTATAATTAAAAGAAATTTTAGAAGATAAGGAGCTAGACTTTAAAGGAATAGCTTCTACCCACGTTTCACAAAAATTACAATAATCTGTATCTGCACAAATTTTGATTAAAAATTCAATATCCTTCCATAAACTGAAAAAGTTAAAGAAAATTTTTATTAATTTTTAAAAATAATTAACGAGTTCACTCACCTACGCCCAGAAGACCTTTTTCCAAAAAGACCTACTACAGTTTTATCAACGAAATTTTTACTTTTTAGAAGTATAATTGGAGGATTTGGGTGAATTAAAGGGGCTAAAGGTAAATTTGGACGTATTAGGGGGGAGTTGGCAGGATTAAGGGGCAATAAAGCAAGCATAATTATGGAGCGGCGGCGCTATTTACCCAAAAGACCTACAATCTGATCTTCTGGGTTTTTTTGGTTTGACCCCAAATTAACATTTTAAAAAATTTTTTGAAAATTTATTTTAAAAAATTATCTTCGTTTTTCTAAACTTACATTCTTTGACATTGATTAAGGGAACTAAAAGATGCCAATTCATTTGAATATTTAATTAGTGGTGGATCCCCAATACATCCTCTACGTAAATTAAATTGATAGGGATTTGTTGTGTTTTTGGCTCTAACTTTAAAAAATATAAATATTTTTCTTAAATTTAAATAAATAAATCTACTCAAATAACAATATTTATCGTTACAAGTATCCCATCCATACAAACATTCTTGTGCGTTTGTACATTCTTTTCGGTGGCAAATTAGTGCTACAAAAATATTATGATTTTTTTATTGTTCAATTTTTTATGTTCCTTTCATTTAGAGAAAAGTTTTGTTTTGATATTTGAGAGGAGTGCTGTCAAAAACCTTATTTTTAGATACCTTTTTTGGAACTAAAGAAATCGTATCTTGTAATGAATGAAGCATTAAATTGAAAAGCTCCTATGTGGACTCTCTATTTAGACTCCTAGACATTTCCCTCGCCCAATTGCCAACCTAATTAAAAAAGACATAAATTGAGGGTGATTTTAAAACTATTTAGATAGTTTTGAAAATATTTTAATTTCCGTAAAAATAAATTATTTAAATAAAAAAAACAAACTTAAAGCTTCATTCATAATTAAAAATATTATAGCAAAATAAACAAACATTTCCAGCTTCATTTTTAATTCAATTCCTTACCTTTTTTGTTTGACTGATTTTAAAAACAGACAATAAAAAAAGAATGAATGATTACACTCATTTACTTTTTTTACCATTTTTAGATTTTTAAAAGGAAAAAAAAAGAAATTTATTTGAGAAGGATGAGTTGGCAGAATTTATTTTTCCTTTTCCTTTTTTTTTAAATCTAATCCCGAATTGTCTGAAAAATATTTTTTTTTATTTTTATCGATAAACACATATTTTTGTTAACAGAAATAAAGCTGAAGTAAAGCAGCTGGACTATAGCTATTTCTCTCCTTAAGCTAGTGCTAAAGGTTAATTGGCAGCTGGAAGCGAATCAGCATCTTCAGTAGACCTGACTGATTACACCACTGATTACACACACAACATTACACCAGCCATTACACCACGCCACCTACTGCTCAGCCTTATTGTTAGGAAACTATATGCTTTACACTGATTTTTCTATTTGTCTCTCAGCTCCTGCCTAAATTAGAATTACTGCTCACTGGATTGTGTTTATCAAAAATTAAATTAATTTAGAACAAAAACCGCCAAATAAAATTTACACATAAAAATTAACATTTACAATTAATATATTTATTTAAATACAACAACATTTACATAATAATCTCTCTATATTTACCTATTTATTTATTCTTTAGGCAACTGGCAACTATGTAAATTGCAATATACCGTATCCACATATCCCCTCAATGATTTATTCATACAAGTCCCATCATCCCTCCCACAAGATCCATAACAACGTTCAACTTTGCGCGTAGCTGTTGGCAATTTATAATTATCCTTATGTCGATCAGTGCAGGGAGCACTACAATCACCCCAATCACTCCAAATAACCGAACACGCACTAACATCCTTTTGGTTTTCCAACATTTTCAACTGAAATGTGGAAATTAGTGTTTAAAAGAAATTCTCTTTTAATTATTCACCTCTGCCTTTCTCGACATATTCACCATAACCAAAATAATAATAATGATGAGCATAACGATCTAAAAAAATTTTTAAAAATTTTATTTTCAAAAATTATTTCTTACAGCTGTGAGGTAGAACAAAAAGTTTAGAATCGTCAAAGTCGTCATTACAGGACTTCGAATCAAACGAAGGAATCGATGAATGCTTTAATTAAATATTTGTATTTAAATAAAATCTCAAGTCCTTACAAGTCTTTGCATTTTCCCTCAGATTTTCGATATTCCATTTCTTTTTCGATGCATGAAGAGATGTCACTGAGCTTTAAAGAAAAGATTTTGTTTTTCAAAAAAAACTTTTTTCATAAAAGTTTTTCCAACCTTAGCTGTCAAAGACCCAATACTTCCAATCTCATTCCGAAGCGGCGGAGCAACAGTATCCTCATCAACCACATCTAAACGAGATGACCAAATCATGGAGTCGTTTTGTTGATGTGGAATTGGTTCTGGCTCCTTTGGTTCTTCAACAAGCTCAGCCGACACTTCAACAACAGGCCCTCCCTCCACGGGCTCTTCCTCCATAGGCTCTTCCACAGGCTCATCCATTTTTCAGAAACTTAAAATTAAACAAGATTAAAAATTTGAATAAATTAATTAAAGTTAAGACTTACTTTTAATTAGAAGATTTATAGAAGAAAATAAAGAATTTTAACAGGAGAATAATAAAACAGATTTTGATTAAATTTTGAGTGTTTTTATAGTGAGTTATCTACTGATTTATCTACTGATTAGTACATTTTCTTATTATAAAAGCAGATAAGCTCCTCCCTAATCTGAAGGGATACCCTGTAAATTGTTTGCCAAGTTTCTTCACTCTATTGCCACCAACAACAACAAAAAAAACAAAAAATGTCTGCAGAAGATCAAATGGCCAATCCTCTTGCCGTCGGAACAATTGACGAACAGTTGGCTATTGCTAAGGAGCATATTGAGGCTTTGGTTGTTGATCATGTAAAAATTTTAAATATTTTTCTTTGATTTTCTTAAAATTTTAGAGACACTTCACAGCTCGTTGGCTAACTAAAATCAAAGAGAATGCTGGTCTAACAATCGACGAGTGGGCATTGGCAAAGATTTTGGTCAATCTGTTTGGTTTGTGGTTGACAATTTCTGAACGTGCCGATTTTGTTGCAAATGCTGTTCTGTGTGGTGTGCCTCTTATTCTGACATTTTTCTATCCAGAAGAGAAGGCAACCAATGAAGATATGTTAATCTATTGGTAAATTAATTGTCCTTTCAGCCTTCAAAAAAATTTTCTTTTTAATTTTTAGGCCTTGTTATGCAGTTATTACTCTCTTTGATTTTATTCTTCGCGCAATTCCCGGCTGGTATATGCTTAAAATTGTCTTCTTTTCTCTGTTCTTCCTTCGTCCCTGGCGATTGGCTTTGAAGATTAGATTGTTGATGTTGCTATTGGAAATGAGTAGACAGACCGCTTTGGCACAACAAAGCCAATCTACCCATCATCAAAAGGTGGAAGAAAATTTTTTTAAAATTTTTCTTCTCATTTTTTAAAATTTTATAGGCATCAGCTTCAACTTCTAGTCATCGTTCTTCTGCCATTGCTCGTCCTCAACAAAATGTAAAAAATATTTTTTTCTTCAATAAAATTCTTTTCCACAATTTAAGCAACAACAAATGTCCCCAGAATTAATTGCCCAACTTCTAACAGCTCTGCAAGTCACCAATCATTCTGCCAACGCAACGGAGGGGGGAACAACAACAAATTCATTACCAACTCCAGAACAATTGGCAGCGCTTCAAAAGGCTCTGGCTGAAGGAGGGGCAGGAAAGGAAGGACAGCAAGGAAGTACATACTTCGATTTGCGTGCAAAATCTAAAACTAAATTGGTCAATCCTGTGCCGAGTAAATATGCGGATGTGAAGAAAAAGGATGAGAGTAAAAAATGAATGGGAGGGTGGTTGGAAAAGTGAAGAAAGTTTGTGTGATAAATAAATAGATAATATATGTAATCTGAATAATTATTTGTATTATATCCCTCATAATCTCTCTAAATAGATATTTTATTGTTCGTCTGTAAATAATAATTATTTTTCTTTTTTCCCATTTGTTTAACAAATGAAATATGTATGTTAATAAAGGAGAGTGGAATAGGCCCATGGCCGTGTCCCGATGAAGCTGCTGCAAAATTTTAATGAAAAAAGTTAATGCGATAGCAACGAGCAATCATCATATGATATAACAAACCTATTGCAATTTCGCAAACTAAACATTCACGAAATCTCGACCTTGATTACGAAGTATAACGATTAAGGATCAAGCCTTAAACACAACCAACCATCATAGGTCTCCCACTCATGCATCGCCAGCTTGCATATATTTACTCTGCCATATATATGTACGATAAAATTAATCCTTTGAGTTTATTGTCGGGGAATAGTCCAGTGCAAGAGTTTATAATAAAGCTAAATACTATTTCTTTACTATCTTCAGCCTGTTCGCTCTTTCTTTCACCTTTTATCCTGTGTATGACGACTATTAAAATTTATACATGTCTAGGATTTGGAGACAGAAAAAATAGAAAAAATAATATGTATAATAAATAAAGATAAACTTAAAATAAAAAAGTAATTCCTGTTAGTGTGCCACAGCATACCAAACTTTGATCATCAAAAGAATCGTCTATCCGTCCACAGGATGGACATATGTACCTTCCTCAGATTCGTCCACACTATGGCTTTGGCCAACTAGCTTGTTCTCTACATTATCTCTAAGTAGATATTTTTATCGTTCGTACGTAAATACTAATTATTTCACCCTTTTTCCATTTATTTAACAAATGAAATCGTTAATAAAAAGCTAATGAACTAAATTGCATGAAACAAAAATATTTAAGATTATTCCAAAATTTATCCAAAAGATTTCATATTTTATATGTCAATAATGCCAAATATTTTATTTTTTATTTCCAAAATATTTAATTTATCCCTCATTCAATTAACTATAAATCAACGCCCCCTCTCTACTTAGCACAGCAAGATTGTTGATTGGCACCACAAGTTGCTCCACAATCTTTGGAGCAATTGCAATTTGCACATTTGCAGTTCTTGCAACCATCTAGAATTTTATTTTTCTCAACAAAAAATTACTCGTTTCTCTACCTTTGCAGCAATCCCCACCACTTGGGCAACAAACATTATTTTTGCAACAATCTAGAAATAAATTTAGAAAAACTTTATCAAAATTAAACTAAAAATACTACCACATTCGCACGCCATTTTTTCGTATAAAGAAATTTAAAAAACAGTCAAATAAAAATCTAAAATTGAGAGAAATTAATTCTAAAAAATTTTCAACAGGTTTAAAAATAATGTAAAAAATTATTTATTCTTTTTAAATGAAAGACTGATTAGATTAGAAAATTTTTTTGAGTATTTATGTACAGAAAATATAAAAATGTATTTATTTATATAAAATATTTATCAGTCCTCTCTTTCATATTAAAAATAATTTAAACCCGCCCAAATATAAGCACAACGTTCTTCGCGTGATTAGTAAACAAAGAGGGAAGGGAGGGGACAAGAAAAAATTTTTTATAGATTTAAAAAACACTGGTAGTAAATTGGAATGACGAATTGAATAAAATACTGACAGATTTTGTAAAAAAAGGGAAGGGGGAATGGACGGGCAAAACGAGAAAAAACAACTACTTTGTAAGGAGACAAATATTTTTTTACTTTTTTTTCAAATAAAACATCGATAAAATGGCCAACAAAACACTCGGCTGAATGAAATTACCAAAAAAGCTGGAGAATTTTTTACAAGCCACTAAAAATATAAAAAAACTATATAAAATGGACCATTCTTTTAGTCCCTCTTTTAATAAGAAAATTATTTAGCAGCTAAATAAACATCTGCGAGAATATTTTATTTTTTTTAATTTTACGAAATAATTGTTGATAGTAGTAGTAATTGATTGACAAATTAAGCTTTAAAATGGTACGAAAAATTAAATAAAGAAATCCAAAATTTCATTTCTCAATTTAAAAAATGGAACAACTTAAGGCAATTGGGATAGAAGAAAGTCTGACCATTCTGTAGATATTTAGGAAAAAACTCGGGGAGGAAAAGATTGGGTCTGTCAGGTTCAATATTACCAAAAAAGTTAATGCGATAGCGATGAATGATCATCATAAGATATAACAAACCTATTGCAATTTTCGCAAAGTAAACATTCACGAAATCTCGACCTTGATTACGAAATATAACGATTAAGGCAACAAGCCTTAAACATAACCATCAGTCATAGGTCTCCCACTCATACATCGCCAGCTTGCAATATTTACTCCGCTATATATACGATAAGATTAATCCTTTGAGTTTATTGTCGGGGAATAGTCCAACGCGAGAGTAAATAATAAAGCTAAATACTATTTCTTTTCTATCTTCAGCCTGTTCACAGAATGTAAATAGTAGATTGATTGACAAATTAAGCTTTAAAATGGTACAAAAAAATTAAATAAATAAATCCAAAATTTATTTTTAAATTAAAAAGATGTGAAAGAATTTAAAATATGTATATAAAATTAGACAGCAAACAGTTCAGGACAATTATCCCAATTTTGTGTTTCTTTTGCCTTCCAATATTCACCCGTAAATTTATACAATGGTTGTTGTTGTTCTTTTGATAGTCCGTTTAATAAGACAAACCATTTTGGTTGATAATCTTTAAATTAAAAGGGAGAGGAAATTTATTTAAAAAATTTTAAGAGAATTTTTTGTCTACTCAATTTGTTTGACTGATTTTGCTCTAAACGGAATGTAACATTTAAAATTTCTATAAAACTTTGAAAGAACCCCTTTCTTTGTCTTCAATAATTATTTCTAAAAAATTATTCTCTCCTACCTTTCCCCTTTTCTTTAATTCTTTCCCTCTGTGCCTGTTCTAAACATTTTTTTAAACGATTGGCAGCCCCAAACTCTCCAAGTTCACACAATCTTTGATCAGGTCTTCTTCTCGAATCTGTCGGTGCAATACCCATTTCCTCTTCATTTAATTCAATAGCAAATTGTGTAAAATTATGCATTTTGTTGGAATTTGGACTTTTTTTGGGGAAAAAGTAATAATTTAAATTTTATTTTGGAATTTACGGTAATTCTGTCGAATTCCACACAATTTCTTCAAAATTTGATTCTTCTCCAATTTTCAAAATTTTTGCCCATTTATCCCATTGTGCTTCGATTTGATACCTTTCAATATTTTCATTGTCAAAGACTTTTCCAGATACCTAAAAAATATTTTTTGATTTTTAAAAGTATAATAAAATATTTCTACTTCGCTCTAGATAAAAGTTAAGTAAAGGTAAAATTAAACGGACTATTCTAAACTATACATATCAGAGGATGCCACTTTCGCCTTTCATTTTTACAGATCACTTTTGGCATACCCCTTACTCCATACAAATGTATAGGTATATTAAATATCAATCTCTATTCATATTTCGTGATAAATAAATTGGAGAAACTTAGAGGAAATTCGAAAACTTTCCAGGTCGGGTTAAAAACCTAATCTTTAATTCCCAAATTTAAGTTAAATTTTTTCTTACATATTTTTTAGAATATTGTTCCGACTTTTTACAATCACCAAAAAACGTTAAAACAGCTTTAGCTTTAGAGCCTGTAATAATTAATTGGCCAATAATTTCCACTTTATTTTCATTCAAAGAATTTCCATTCTTTTTAGAATTTCCGTTATTCATTATTGAATCCAAACTTGTGGAAGTTGAAAGCTAAAAATGTAAATAGAAGGGATTTAGGAAATTATTTAAAAATACCTTTTCATAACTAAAAGTATTTCCATCTTTAAATTTAATTAAAGTTTGTCCACAAGGTTTAAGGCAAATATTTGTACCCTTTAATTTTGATTCTAAAATATAACTTTGTTGTAATGTCCAAGAATTGCTTTCTACATAAAGTGCAGATCCTGGTGGATGATGAGAAATCTGTTTGGAGAATTTAATAAAAATTTGTTATTAAAGAAAAATATTTTTTGAGGAAATTTTATGGGCAAACAGGAGTTAAAAAGCTCCATTTTATGTTAAGTAAAGGAGGGCATACTGATTAACGTTGTTGGTTCTTGGAAATCTTCGGATATCCGGAACCGAACCGATATCCGAACTGAAAATTTTCGGATATCCGGTTCGGTTCGGTCCAGAACCGACAACCCTAATATTGATACATAAATGTCGAACTAAATACCAGACATCTTATTTTTCCAAATTAACATTCTATTGGAGATTTTAAGATTACAAAATTTTAATTTTATATAAATTTTTTAGAGAATCTTTCTCAAAGTATTTCCCTCTTTTAAGGTAAAATTAGGTAAATTTTATAAAAAAAAATTTAAAGCACACTTGTTCAGCAATAGACCTCCACCCTTTGTCTTCTCTTCTGTCACATTCAAAAGTTTCCCCAATTAAAGGATTAAATGGTTTTGTAGTTCGTAAAGAAATTGTAGAATAACCAGAAATAGCAAAAACACAAATTAAGGACATTTGTTTAAATAAATCTTTTTCTTTTGAGGCTAAATCTAATAAATAAGAATATTCTAATTCTTCTGTTTGGCGTTGAAGCATTGAAAGTGGCTCGTTAAATTCTACCTTTAAACAGAAAAAAATATTTTTTTACCCTAGAATGAGAGGTTTTTATTCTAACGGGGTTTTCTTTTCCAAGAAATTAAATAGTATTTAAAATAAAAAAACTGCGGCATAATGGGTGCCGATTTTGAGTAAGACTTTAATTAAGACTTATTAAGACCCTTAACTGGGTCTGGCCAAAAATTGTTTTTGTCTTAAATTAAATTTTTTTGAAGAACAATAAACTTTAAAGTCCTTTAATAAAAGCTAAATAAATTTTGAAACTTTAGAGCGGATTAACATAAAAAAATTAACATAAAAATTCCAAATTTCCCTTATTTTTATTTAAATCCCTCTAACCGGTAATGCCATTTTAGACAATTCCTTCCCAACAAAACCTTTAATTAAAGTTAAATAATTTGGATTTGCACTTTCTCTTAAAGGAATTGTTTTTCTACGTTGTTTTTGTTGTTCTTTATTTGACATTTTTAAATAAAAATTTTTGGAAGGATTTAAAAGAGGAATTTTAAAAAAAGATTATATTTATTTATTGACTGTTTGCCTGTAACTTTAAAATAGAAGAGAGAGGGAAATTTCAATCGAAATTTTAAAAACGGAAATATTATTGAATTGTTTGGGCGGTTGGCGCAAGTTCTCTCTTTAGCAAATAATGGGAAAAAAGGCTCCCATACAAAATACCGAATTCTTAAAATATGGAATCTCAAAATCGCGAATCGGCTAAAAAAGCTCAAAATATGGAATCTCAAAATATCGAATCTCAAAATATGGAATCCCAAAATATCGAATCGGCCAAAAAAGCTCAAAATATCGACAATGCGGCAAAAGCCAGTTGAGTCTGAACAATTTTATCAACAACTTCGAAAAAAATTTAAAAATATGCAAAAGGGTTTTTCTAGGGTAAAAAATATGCTGATTACGAATCTGAGCTCGGATTTTGAAAAAGTCGAATCCCAGACCATGAACCGAGCTTCGAATCCCGAACCGAATTTCGATTTTCCGAATGATAGCTCATTTGAAAGAGCACGACGAGCTGCATCGACTGATACCAAAATCAATGAAATCCGACTTTATTGGACTGAGATACAGACCCCTGAATAAACTGAAAAAGACCTGCACTCAATTGGCGGCACTCAAACGGCCCTTTTCGATTTAAAAAATTCGACATTTTTAACTACTTTTTAGCCGATTCGGTATTTTGAGCATTTTAGCCTATTCGAGATTTTGAGATTCGATATTTTAAGATTCCATATTTTGAGCTTTTTTGGCCGATTCCATATTTTGAGATATTTTTCCCGATTCGGTATTTTGAGCTTTTTTAGCCGATTCGCGATTTTGAGAATTCGGTATTTTGTGCGGGCACGGGAAAAAAACTTGAAGGGAAAGGTAGAGAAAATAAATAAAATAAAATATAACACGTTTTTTTGGCCAACCAACAAAAAGTATATACATAGAAAAGATTTTTAAAATAAAAGTGAAAAAAAATATTTTTTTGTTTTTTTATTAAAGAAAGCTTAGCACTTCCGGTCTGTTTATGGCAAAAATTGAAGAAAATAAAAGAAGATGCGCTTAATGTATAAAATCCTTTATTAGTTAACAAAAAAGCTAAAATTTCAACACTAATTGAGGCAAATTCTCATGAATACTGGGATGTTTCACAGAATGGACAATTCACCGAAATTGTCTAACAACTAGCAAATGTGTGTGAATTTTAATTTTTTATCCATATATTTTTTTCTTTATCTATCATTTTTTTATTTTATACCCCAAATACAGAAATATGTATTTACAATAATCTTCAATATAATTTATTCTGTCCATGACTCAAAAACCCTCCATTTATTTAAAAAATCTCCCCAATGTCATACATCTAAAAGCACCTTTTAAAAGAGGAAAGGGATGACTAGTATGTATATACTTTTTTTGGTTAGTCTTTTACTTTTAAATCAATGAAAGTAAAGCTTCTTTTCTCCTGCATGAAATGCCACTAAACGTCAGCCTCCATTTTTTCTTCACAAAATGTAGTAATTTTTGGAAAGAGAAAAGAAAAAAAGAATTAAGTAAAGCCTAAAGGTGCAAAAAAAGAACCTGATCATTTCTTCACATCATTTTGCTGCAAAGTGATTGCAAAAGATGTGAGTAAATTCGAAATGATCTCTAAAGCTTAATCAAATATTTTTTGATTTTTAGTAGCTAAATAATGAATTTTATATTAAGTATTAGAGAATTCACGGAAACACGAATTTTGGGACTTTTAAAGATAGATAGATAATTTTCGTGTACAACCCAGGTAGGCGTGTGGCCATAACGGTGCAAAGCCATAACTTGCTTCAAGATTTCCGAATCTTACCAAATCTAGTATTAAACGATTCCTCTCATCGAGCTAAAGAGATTGGTAGCAAAATTGATAAGGGCCAGAAATTTCCTAGCAAGTTATGGCTTTGCGCCGTTACAGCCACGTGCCTACTCGGGCGTGTCCCATAATCTTCACCCCGTAATCAGTCACAGTAACTTAATCTTTCACAGATCACGTTATTCCAGGGAAAATCATAAAATAAAAATTTTTCAAAAAAATTTTTCAGAAAATTTCAGAATGCCAATTCACAAATTATTTTTCAAAATGTAAAATTCTCAAAATGTCAATAATTAATTTTTTTAATTTACATTTTTAATTTTAATCCAGAAATCAATTCTGTAAAATTACTTTTAAAGGAAATATTCTTTTTATTGATCTCTCTATTTTCTTTTTATTCCACCTATTAATTAACGTCATTCTCTCCCGTCTGATTAACAAAAATAATTTTTTTTTCTAAACAAACCTGTTTTTATATTAAACTACGAAAAATATATTTATTTATTTTTAATTTAATTTAGATTATTTAAAGTAATTTTTGGAAGAAATTTAAATGAAAAAATAAAAAAATTTTGGAAAGAAATTTTTGTGGAGAAATGAATTCTTCAACTTTCTACAATGCTTTAATTAAGAGGCCAAATGAAAGGAATGAAGAGGTTTATATTTTTTAATATTTCGGGGATTCTAATATGAAATTTTTATTTAATTATTAAAATTTTTGTTTATTTATTTAAGTCATATAAGGCATTAAATATAGGGTTGGGCGCCCGGTTCGGGGCGAAATATCGACCTGGTCTCTAATTTTGGCCCGAATAAGACTCGAACGTCGGTCCGGTTCGAAAAATCCAACTCACAATCAACTTAAATTGCAATATTTTTAATTTAAAAGGATGGTTGGGGTGTATTTTTTGAATCGGACCTTTTTTAGTCATTTTTCTGGATATTATCTTTCTGATTTCAATTTTTTAAATTTAATTTTTATATGAGTATTCAATCGATTTTTGACTAAAAAGGATTTGTTTATAACTAGAATAACTAAAAAATCCCCTTAAGACAAAATTTTTTTTGAATATTTTAGAGAATTTAAGACATCTCTTTTCCTTATCAAAATTAATTTTATTTTTATTTTTTAAGGAAATTAATACAATATTTAATCATCTTCGACGATTAGAAGTTTTTGAAAGATTACACGATGCCCCATTAAAATCAGTATGTAAAACAGCTAGACTTGAAAGACATTCGGCCAATTATGTTTTGTTTAGGTTTTTTTGGATTTAATTTTAAAAATTAATTTATTTTTAAAGAAAAGGACAGTTAGCTACTTGTTGGTATATTTTGCTTTCTGGATCTGTTTTTATGAATAAACAAGTTTATTTGCCTATTGGATGGTTAGTTTTTTTATTTTAAAATTTAAAAAGTTTTTAAAAATATTGATTGATTTTGTAGAAATTTCGTGTAAATTCCTATCCGTTCCTATATTATTTAAAAAATTCTTTTTTCGGCTATACTGAAAGATAAGGGTACCCCTTATTTTTTTTTAGAATTTTTAAGACAAAAATCCTTGAGTGGGAATGTAAATGATGTAGCAGAAAGTGTTACTTAAACTTTTTTTAACCGATGCAACGTTTTTAGTCTGGGTTAAGCCTGAAAAAGCTAAAAATTGGTAATAGGCTTGGCAGTAATCTCAAAGATTTTTATTTGATGGCCTCCTTATCTTATCAGTAAAATCTTTCTTTAAATATTTTTTTTGAAAATCTTATTTAAATATTTATTTTCTCCTTTATTTTCCAAACTTGTCACGCTTCATTTTACCTTTAACAAACAACCAAAGTTATGCTTTACTTTTTGATAGGGTAACCGGTTCCACTTTTAATTGTTTGGCCTTTAAAATATTTAAAGAGAAATTGTGGTTAAAGAAATAAATTCTTTTTAAATTATTTTTTAAATTTATTTTTAAATTTTAATAATTTTCTTTTTTGTTTTCTACGAGAACATTCAATTACTTGTTCCAAAATTAAATACCACAATTTCTTTTTAAATATTTCCTTTTTATTCTCAAATTTTGAATAATTTTTAGATTAAATTAATTTTTTAATTTAATTTTTTACTTTGGCACTTTTTAAGTAATAATTATTTTATTTTATATTAGTAGGATTATATTTTCAGCTTTTTACTCTTTTACTAATTTATTTATTCTCCTTTTTCTTATCGGAAGCCCAAATCTTGGTTAATTTTGAATAAAAATTAAGAAGGGATTCTCTTCTAAATTTAATTTTAATTTGCATTTATAAATAATTTAAACGAAAAAAAAGTTTAAAATGATGAAATTGATTTTATTTAGGGAAATAAAATTTTTATAAAAATTGATAATTTATTTAAAAAAGAGAAATATATATTTTAAATCAATTTAATCTTTTTTTTTCTTTCCAACTTGTCAACCTTTTGTGAAAACTAGAAAAAAAATTATTAAAGAAAATACTTCCTAAATTGACTCACTTTTTATTAAAATTTAAGCAAATCACAACCACTTTTAATTATTTTTTGTTAAATTTGTATTGTTTAGGTTTTCTTCATGCTCACAGTTTAGGCTCGCATTTAGGTTTTTATTAAACTTTGTCCTTTTTTTGTTTATTCCCTCCACATTATCAATTAATTTACTTCACTTTTACACAAATCCTCCCTTCATTTTTTTCGAAAATTGGCACATTTTTTCATTAAAATTTCAACCACTCTTAATTATTTTTTAATTTGTATTTGTTTAGGATTTTCCCCATGTTTTTTTCGTTTTCTTCTTAACCTCAGTTTAGGTTTTTTTTATTAAGTCAAGGCTTTCTTTTTTTTCCTGCTGATTCCTCCCCACATTATCAATTAACTTAATTCATTTTTCCCTTTATTTTTTTTTCTAAAAGTAAATCAAAAATAAATAAATTTCTAGGGCATATGTATATACTTCAACACAATGCACAATATATTTCTTGTATATTGCCCCCATTTCTTCAAACATCTTTCCTTTCTTTATTTCCGCTGACCCCTAAATTATGTCTTTTTTTTACTTTAAATTCACCCACATTTCTTTATAACACAAAGAATTTTATTTTTAAATTTAATTAATGTCCTCATTTTTTAGAGAAATTAACTTTTATTTTAACTAGATTATTTTTTAATTTAATTAAATAATTGTAGTTGACATTAATTTTTGGGTAAAAATATACAGTGTGTCCGAAAATGATATAACCACCCAACTTTTTAGGTGTAAATCGGTTTCTCTTTGATCTGTTTTCCTGAAATTTTGACACAATATTTCGAATATCATTTATAGTGCATATGCAAAATTTGAGCCTAGGTGGTTATATCATTTCCGGACGGTTGAAAAACGACCACTTTTAAATAAATTTAATTTACTTAGGGATGAATGGGGATATTTAGATAAAATTTTGCATAGATATCCAGAATACGTATATAATCAATATAAAAAAGAAAGAAAGTGAAAATATTAGGTTCAAGAAAAGATATAACAAAAAATGCAAGTGGTTATATCATTTCCGGACACACTGTATTTAATCCTCTTTAAAAATACCTCCAATTATTTATTAAAAAAATTAGACTTTTTCTGTTAGGAAGATACAAGTTAGAATTGTTAAGTTGACCTCTTTTTCTTATTTTTATCCCTCTTCTTTACACCCTTATTTTTTTAATTTTAATTTTAAACTTGAAAATTCAAGATTTTTGTCTTTCCTTTATGATTTTGATTCCTATGTAACTGTCAGATTTCTCCTTATTGTCTATTCATTAATAATTCCAATCTCGAGAATTTATTTATTTTTTTCTTTTAATTTTTATGTCCATTAATAAAAAAATATTTTATATATTTTTCTGTTTCCTCTAAACATTTAATTTTTTCTGCTCAATTTTCATCACACATTCCTTCTCTGATAATTTATTTATTTCCTCTACTCATTTTTATATAAACTTTTAATCATTTGCAAAAATATTATTTTTTCATTCATTAAAATTATTTTTTTAGAAAATATATTTTTCTATATCGATTATTCTTTTTTTTATTACTCAATTACTTCAATTGCATTTGCGCCTTTTTTTCTAAATTTCCCGACAATTCATCCCCTCCCTCCCCCATTCCTTCCGTTTTGTCTTTTAACTGTGGCTTTTTTTTTAATTTCTTCATTCTTTCATAAACTCTTGACGGACACTAATCGAGAGTAGAAAAAATAAAGAAAAAAGGATTTTCACCTTTACAATAAATATTTTTTGTTGTATTTGTGAAGAGTAAAGCTGTGAGGACAAAAAAAGCTTTAGATAGAATCTACAGCTGCCGCCATCTTTTATTTTTATTGGGCGATTAAAACTGTTTTTGTTTGTTGACTGGTCAGTTTGCGCTTCTCTTGGCTGTCCATAAATTCATTGAAAGGCTTTAAATGAAAAATTTTTGCAAAGAAATTTTTTCCATTTATTCATTAAAATTTAAGATTCCAATCTTTATGTTTATAAAACTTAATCAGAATTTCTTTGTAAATTTTCTCAATTTCTTGTAAAAATTCCAAAGTATCCATTAACGTTTAAGAATAATGTAAATTTTCTAACTAATTTATTTGCGAATATTTAGAATATTTTATTATCCCCTTTTACTTTTGACCACCCAAACTTTCTTTCAATTTTATTTATAATCATCCACAATTATTTTATTCCTAAAACAAAATAAAAGTAAATTAAATCTAAATCTTCTTCATAAATACTTTAATGAAGAAGAGCGCAATCCCCCCCTTCCTTTCCTTATTAACTGCTACATATCTGCTTCTTTTTGCTATTAAACCCCCAAAAAATATTCCAATCTTTAACCCTAACATTTTTTTTAATTCTTTCTATTTCTGACCAAAAGCCAGAAAATCCCTTCCTTTACTAAACAGCTGCTGTCAAAAAAGCTGGTCAAAGAAACTGCTTTTCCAAAATAATGGCTTATGGCGGAAAATAAAATCTTTGGGAGGAAAAAAGTATTAAAATATACCCTTTGGCGAATTTTGATTTTTGGTGTATGTAGTTTTTTAGTTTTTGATAGAAAATTGGGAGAGAGAGAGAGAAAGAATTAATTTGGGAGGGGAGGTGATTGAGAGAGGACATACACTAACAAATAATCTTACTAATTCTGATTCATCTGGAAATATATTTGATTACTCTATGTATTTTTTAAATTTATTATGAACTTTTCTATTTGAATTTTAATTAAAAATATAGTTTGTTAAAATAATTTTCAATTAATTTTATTGCCCTTCCTAACATTAATATCTATCTATTTTTTTTCATTTAAAAAAATTAAATTTAAATTTTTATATTTTTCTAGCTTTGGTAAACGTAGCAATATGAATTTACGTCGAATGAGTGATTGTATTGTGATATCACCATCGGATATGATTGTGGTAGGTATTTATTTGTTAAAAAGTTATTTTTAAAAATATTACAAATAAAAATTAACTATTAAATTTTGGAAATTAATTTAAACTTAAAATTTAATGGTTTCCTCCATTTTATTTTCCATCTCCATAAGTGAGATTGATTATAGCTATATTATATATTTTTATAATCTTTTATTTTTTGCTATTTTTTCTTTCCGCTGATTTTTGCTATTTACTTTTAACTATAATAAATTAATATATATTTTTCTGAACTTTGAACAAAATTTTTTCTATCTTTTCTGCAAAATTATTTTTTTATTTTTACTGCTCAAATAAAAATATTTTTTTTCTCACCTAATTTTCTTGCGGATTATTTTCAATTAAATTTCTCTTATTAATATTCATCAATTTATTAAAGTAAAAAGAAAGGAGGATTTATATACTTAAAAACTAGTTAAGTATATCTAATTTATTTGTAAAGAAATAATTTTTTACAAATTCTCTTTTTAAGTAATTGGTGTGAAATTCTGGGAGGCAGAAACAAGAATTTTTAAACAAATAAAAATATAAATTTTTAAAATTAGCTATAATTTATTTTTAAATTTTGGGAAAATTTTTTATTAAATTTATGGCAATTTTAGAACATTTTAACGTCATTTTTATTTTTTTTTCCGTTTACTTTAATTTTTCCAAACCTTCTCTTTCATTCAAAAACTTCATATTATCTCCTCTGAATTTCTTAAATTTCCCCCTTTTTTCATTAAAAATTTTTTACATTTAAATTTAATAGATTGATTATCCGGATGTCCAACGCATTACTGTCCATTTACACAACAATTCAGACAACATTTTAAATCAAACTGGCAATCAGCCAAACGTCTCAGCTACCGCCTTTCCTGCTTTTGACGGCCCTTCTTCATCTTCACTTTCATCCTCACCTTTAGGAGGGGCGGGAACTTCAACACCTTCACTTTTAGTTAGAAGACAAAGTGGTGATTGTGCTTGGAAAGGCAACATTCAACAAGTAGAGAAATTTAAATTTGAAAATAATTTTTTTGTTCTGATAAGGTTTAAGTGAACTATTTTAATATAATAATTGAGCTATTTAAATAGGGATATGGGAAACTGAAAATTTTTAATTAAGTCAAAATTTTGGAATTTGCAATTTTCCCCTAGATGTTCTAATAATATTAAAATTAAAGCAATAATTTTTCTTTTAAATTTTATGGCTAGTAAGTAAAATTCTTTTTATCTAAAACCAGTTTTATATAAATTCCTTCAACACATTATTTATTGGACTCACCCAATAAAATCATCTCTATTTCCCTTTTATTTTCAGCAATCATCAAAGGGTATTCAAATAATGACAATGGCACCTCCACAACGGTCAGCAGCAGCAACCCCTCTTCCTCCTCATTATAATCAACAACAATATTCTTCTAAATATCCTCCTCATCATCGCATACCTCCACATATTTCTACTTCAAGCAATCAACAACAACAACTTTGCCATCAACACAATAATAATAATAATCATCTTTACCAACAACAATCTACTATTCAACACATCCCAGTAACTAATTCTCCCATTTGCCATAGAGTGCCTTCACCAGCGCCGACATTTTCTTCGCCAGTTAAAGATGTATGTTTGTTAAAAATATGTAAATAATAATGTGGATAGGTACTTCGAATTAATATTTTATTCATTGTGAAAGATATGTTCCGAGTCTATGAGATCTTTCTTTTATTCCTCAATTCTTTTATCTCTTCTTGGGACTGATTTTCTAATCTTCTAATTTTCTTGGGAAAATAGGAAGCTTTCCCCATCTTTTGTTTGGCAAATCAAGCCCCTCTTCTAGTTAATTTTGCAATTAATTTTTAATTAGGCATCCCTGCTTGCAATTTTTTAAAATATTTTTAATTACCCTATTAGAGGTAGTCCTTATTATTAAAAATACGTTAAAACTTGCATTTGTTCTCACCCAAAAAATATATAAAAATATTAAGAGCTTTGTTTGTTTGTTTTATTCTTCAAAATGAAGTCTTACATTTATTAGTTTGTTTTAGGAACGGAAAAAAGGGGGAAACTTTTTTTAAATATTTTTTTTTATTTTTGAGTTTTTAAAGTGCTATTTTTACGTATATATTTTTATTTAAAGTAACTAAATTTGGAAATTAAAAATATTTTTTTTTAATTTTTTTATTGAATTTGTTCTTTAATTTAGACACATTTTTGGTTTTTTCTTATCAATTAAAAAAAGGAATGTACCAATTAATTTCTTTACTTTATTTAAAGTGTCAATATTTTTTTGGAAAAATTCTTCTAAATTTGTACTGAACTCTTCTAATTTTATTTTTTGTTTTTCAATTTCACTTAAACGGCTCGGTTATACAAATTTATTCCTCAACACATGCGCAATTCAACTCCTGATCACTTTAGTCGACTCCTAGTCACTTTCGATATATCCCAATTTATTGACTCACTCCCAAATCACCTTAAAAGACACTTTTACAATTTTTAAATTATGTTAAGGAAATCGTTTGTTTACGTTTATTTATTTTATTTGTTTTATCATAACATTATTGTCTGAAATCGTCGCGCTGATGCGTATAAATTTGATTTGATTTGATTTGAAAATCCTTTAAAAATTAAACAGATCGTTTAAAACATTCCTCTTTTTTGACATTAATCTTTTTTTGCTTCAACAGGTTTTTCATTTTTCTCGTCATCAAAATAGCAACAACAGCAACAACAACAATTCTCTTCAACAACAAAATCGTGGAGGAGGAGTATTTTTTCATCCCCAAATTATCTTGCAACAACATCACGCTAAATCCAATTCAATGTCTTCAGGGAATACTTCCAAAAATCAACAAAAAAATAAAGAATTTTTAAATGAAGTAGAAGTACCCTTTATTAGAATAAAACAACAACAACAACCTAAAACATTGCCTAGAACAAAAATTGATGAAATAAATGGAGAATTGTTAGTAGAGGAAAAGAATTGTAAAAATAATAATCAGTTTTCTCCAAGACAAAAAAGGTACATATTTTTAGAGAAAGGGGGCAATTTTTGGGGGTTCGAAGAGATTTTAATGTTTGTATATTTTTTGTACAAACGTAGAAGAATTTTTAATTATTTAAAAATTGTTTACTTTACTCCAGGAAATTTTGATTTTTAGATTAGAATATTTCTACATTTTCTAGAAACCAGAGGTGGGTCGGAATTCCGATTTCCGACTTTTTTCCTTCTGATTTCCGATTTCTGAGTTCCGACCTTTGAGCCAGTTCCGATTTCCGACACCTCTGACTGTTCCAACCCAACTCTGCTAGAAACTAAATCTGAGAAACGAGTTTTATATCTTTAAAAATTTCCCTACCCAAGAGACTTTCCACAGCACGAACTTCCAGACTTTTAGGTCTAGAGACTACAAAAATTATTTTAATTTAAATTAGGGTTTAATATCCAGGGTCTCCCACTTGTATGTATTAATCAAGCTAAAACTTTTAAAAAATTGTGAATCTGCCTTTAATTATTTTTTAAGATCATCAATAACATCCTTGCGCGATTCTCCAACAATTAATTTGTCAAATTTTAATAATTCTCTAATACAACAAAAAATGGCGATATTCGAGCCTTCAAATAATTCCTCTTCTACACAAACTTTAAAAATTAATGAAGAAATAATTAAAGAAAATATTGACAATTTAAATAATGATACAATGACTAAAACAAAGAAAAACACAAAAATTGAAGAAAATTTAAATGGAAAAAATTCTTTTTTGGAAAAACCTTTGAAAGAAAAATTGGAAGAAGAAAAATTTAATAATGAAAAAGAAGTTGCTAATTTAACTGAAAAAAATATTAAAGTTCCAAAGTCGCCAGTTACTTCAACTAATTTTCAAAGACTGAGCAAAATTCGTTTAAATATGGGAAGTGGAAGAAGAAATACGGTTAAATTTTTTTTAATTTTTATTGAGAAAAATGGATTGGGGCTATTAATGTTTTTTGGGGAAAATGTTAGAAATTGATTAATAAAATAATTGGGTGAGGGACAATTCAAGGAATTTCAAATCGGAACAGGCAAGACAAGGAACGACAAGTCAAGATCTTACCAAACCATGGAACGACTAAATCATGGAATATTTTAAAAATCAGAATTTTTTAAAATTTTGAAAAATTCTAAAATATTCGAATTATTTAAAAAAAGTCTTATTTTTCAAAAATATTCTGATTTTCAAAGAAATTCCGATTTTAGAATATTGCGTATTTTGGTCATTCCGTAAATTGGTTGTTCCTCGAATTTTGAGATTGACTTGAGTTAACCCGATACGAAATAAATGGGGTAAAAATAAATTGTTGAATTAACTTTTACTTTTTTCTGGTGATTTTGATAATTGTTCCCTTTCCTTTATAAATTTTTTTTGAATTTATTTATTTTAGCAAATTGTAAATGATGAGGATATTTCTGCTCTTGAAACTTTAGCTGCAAATGTTCGTATTCGACAACAATCACCTCAGCAAAATAGAACACAAGGAGCTGCTGCTGTAAATAAAATACGTCAAAGCATTGGTTATTTGTGATGTTTTTTAAATTTAATTTTATTTTTAGCCTCAAGTGTTTCTGCCCTAACTGTGGATGATTCTGAAGATTGTTTTGCTGGATTGCCTGAAACCTCTGTAGATAATGAAATGCTTGATGATTGTGAAGATGATGAGGAGGATGAAGAAGAAGGAAGTTGTCCTTCTCACGATTCTTTTCATGTTTGTTTGAAAATAATTTTTAGAAACAGATTTGGGGTTTGGAAATTAGGGAGTGTTTATGAATTGTTGTGAATTTGGAAATTAGTTTTGTTGTGTTTTGGGTAAAAAAAATTTTTTAGTTAGGGGTAACTGCTAGAAATTTTAAGTGTTTCTGTTTTTATTCGTATCAATCTAAAATTTTGGTATTTTATCCCTCTTTTTGTTTTCATTTTTTATATCCGTTACTGTAAAATTATTTGAATTTTGAACAAGTCTGTTATCCTCCTTAATCCCTCTAAATCCCTCGATATTCGCTTTAAAAATTTTTAATTTCCTTCCATTTTTAGGAATTACGTGATAGTGTACGTGAATGTCTTGAGAAAGAACCATCTAATAGAACTGGAGAGGACCTCGCAATATTAATTGAATTTATGTCTTCATTACCTTCATTAGCCCAATTACCAATGAGTATTAAAAGACAATTGTGTTTAAAAATGGTTTTTGCTGTTGTACCGACAAAAGGAACTTCAATAATGCAACATGGAGAGAAAATAGATGCTTGGTTAGTTTTGAATATTTTTTGTAAATTTACTCTTTTTTTGTTGTTAAATTTTGTGGGAAAGTGCAATACTAAATAATTTGAATAAGAATATAATAACTTTAAAAAAGAGGGGTTTTCTTTTTTATGTTAATTTTTGGTTTTTATACTTTCCACTATTTTTCTACATTAAATAACAAGTTATTTTCTGTCAACATTTTTTGAAAAATTAAATTTCAAAAAATTTAAATAGTCCTTTAATGTAATTTTTAATTATTATTAGTTATAATTCATCCCGATTAGTGTTGTAGATTCTAATAGTACTAATCGGGGATTCTTTTTTTAATTCACTTAAAATGGGGTTTAAAATTAATTTTAAGAAAATTAAAACGGTTTTTGTTTTTTTAATTTTTGCTATAATACCTATCATTTTATTTAAAACAATAATAAATATTATTTTTTATTATCTTTTTCCCCTTCCAAATTTGTAATAAATGTCCAAATCTCTCTTCTCTTTTTTATTTCCCTATAATTTATTTTTCAGGTCTGTTGTTGTAAATGGAAGTGTGGAACACGTTCATTCAAATGGCCAGCATGTAGAATACCGGCTTGGTGATTGTTTTGGAGTACAGCCAATCGCGCAAACGCAATACAATGACGGGGAAATTCGTACTCTTGCTGATGATTGCGAATTTATTCTTGTAAGGAAAAAAACTAGATAATTTTTTGGCCTAAAAAATTGATTTTTTTAAATTAAATTTTTAAAAATTTTTTCAGGGATTTTTTTGTTCCGAAGGAATTTTTAAAATTTTACTAAATTATTTTCTTTTTTTCTTATAAAATCAAGATTTTTTAGGTTGAACATGGTGATTTTTATTCAATTATGTCTTCATTGAGCAGACAAATAGAGCGCGAGAATGATGAAAAAAGTGGAGAAGTGGTCAGGGAAGTTGAAAGAAGGTTAATAGAATTTTTTATAATTATTTAAATTTTACTATTTATTGAGGGAGGGTGTTGAATTTTTTTAGCTAATTAAGAGCTTTTTTTGGGTTTTTAAATGATTAGGAATTTTGTAAAAATAATTTTCTTTTTATTTTAGAATGATTGATAATCAAGTAGAATTAGTAGTAACTAAAGCTAGCCCAGAAAGATTACTCCGCCAATTATTGTTGGATGAAAAAGATGATTTATTACTAGCTGCAACATCCCCAATCACAGAAAATGTTGATAGTTTAGCAAATATTTCAACAAATTCTGCTCAAATGGATTCTCATTTTGTTGAAGATTTTTTGTTAATGCATAGAGTTTTCTTCCCAGATTCGTTCTTGGCTATACGTCAATTAATTGATTGGTTTAGATTGGAGCCTAAACATCGGGAAAGAGTGGTAAGGAAATTTTCTTGAAAAATTTTTCTAATTGAGAGGCTTTGAAATCTCGTTAATTATTTAATTGTTAGTTAGGATTCAATTAGAATTTAATTTTTTTTGGTTTAATTCTCTCAATTTTAAGGCTAGAATAATGCTAATTTGGTTAAATAACCATTTTGAAGACTTTGAAGGAAATGATTCTGATGGAAAAATGACTGCTCTTTTGAATGAATTTGATCAGGTAAAAAAAAGGATTTTTTTAATTTTTTTTCCTTTTGAATTTTTTTGGAAAAAAATTATTTAAAAAATAAAAGAGATTTTTAAGACTGGCACAATTTTAAAATAAAAATTAATTTTAAAAAATAGTTATTGGCCGATGCAAAAATGTTCAATCATCAATGTTTAATGAGCATAACATGTTCTGTTAAATCCCAATCCAGACAAGTTTTTTAAATTAAAAATTCCAATATTTTCCCCTCTATTTTTGTAGGTAACATTAACACGTTCAGATCGTTCAGAACCTCTTAATTTTAAATTGGTTGGGGGATCCACTTATGGAGGTATTTTTGTAATGTCTGTAGAGACTGGCTCTTCAGCAGAAAAAGTTGGGTTTCGAAGAGGAGATGAGGTAATTTTGAAAAATATATTATTTAATACAATTTCTTTATCAGTTATTGGAAGTAAATGGCAAAAATATGCGTAAATTCTCACTTTCTAATGCTGAGGATATTATCCGGGAAAGCACACATTTAAGTATTACACTCAAAACAAATTGGATTGGGTTTCAGGTATTTTATTCTTTTATTGGCCTCTTTAACCTTAAAAAATATTTTTAGGAAGCTTTGCTTCATTATCAAGAAGATCAACAAACAAACTCAACTACAACCATTTCAACAGCCAATTGCCCTCCAAAAAAGGCCAGCAACCCTTCAGTACAAACCACAACAGCAATGCCTTCTCGTTATCAGAAGAAATGTTCAATTCCAACGATTGCTGGTGCTGGGCATCATAATAAACAACATCCACAAAGAGAAAGACGTTCAACGCTTAGTGCTGCTATTAATCAAGTTGAGGTATTTTATTCGAAGATTTTTTAGATTCTATTTTGAATTTTTAGTTAAATCCTCACCAACACTATCACAATTCTAAAGCAGGCTCTGCAACGCCTACAAGTGGAGGAAATTCTACAATCTCTCACAAAAAAGTTTTAAATAAATTAATACAAATTATTCGAGGCTCTGTTGACGATAATAATGTTTGTCATCAACATAATAAATGTTTACAACAAAAGCAACAACAACAAAATGGACAACAAATAACTATTGACTCAACTGATGGAGAGTCTAAAAATAATGGAAATTCTTTGCGTGCAAGTCGTTCAAATCCTGATATTTCTGTTCATTCTTGTGGTCCTTGCACTTCGGTGAAAATTTATTTTTTGATTAAAATTCGCTGTTTAATAATATTAATTACTCCAATAAAAGATTCTGTTCTCAACCTAGTAATAAGGATCAATTCGCAGTATTTTTACGAAAAATAAATAATCTTCGGTCCAAAATCCACACTTTCACCGAATTAAAGTCCTAAAATTAATTTTATTCGCGTTTATTGGGTAATTTAAATAAAGGCATTCAAGTATTATGTACATAAAATCGCGAACTTCTATTGCGACTGAGACTTCCAGACTTTAAAATTTGCTCTTAATTAAAAGATTTATATCATTTGAAATTCTCAAACTCACTTCTTTTTAAAACAAAATCATGTAATCAAACCCCTATTTTCAGTCAAATATTTCATGTACTTCATCTTCATCCACTGCCTCAAATCGCCACAGTTCTCTTTGTGCTGCTTCCTCAAATGGCAGTGTTGGAACTTATTTGCCAAGAATAGATCAAGCATTAAAAATTTATAGAAGTGATCAAAGTTTTAGATATATACCTGTTTGTGCTGATTTAAATGCTAAACAAATTCTACAATTAGCACTACAGGTTTTTGAATTTTTATTGAAAATTAGGGATTTGAAAAAGAGATCGGCTATTGAATTCTTTGGGACATATTTATGCTTGGGGATTTTTTAAATGGCTGAAATCGTTGAAATAAATTTTTTTATTTTTTCATATTTATTTAAGCTTTTTATAAACCTCTATAAAATCTGTTCTTTATTTTTAAATTTTACCATTATTTTTCCCTTTCCGATTTCTCTAATAAAAAAAATTTTTTTCAAAGGAATTCGGAATTTCTACTGATTCAATAGATGACAATTCTTGTTTATGGGCTATTTATGAATGTTCTGTAAGCCATGATGGTGTAATAAAGCAAAGAAGATTGCCGCCTACAGCTACAAATTTAGCTGAAACTGTTGCATTAAATGCACGTTTATATCTTCGAGATATGCAAAAAGTCTGATTGAAAATAATTTTTTTATAAAAAATAATTTTTAGGAGGAAAATAATTTATTACCGGATGAACTTATACCAGAAGTTTTAAAACAAGCAAGATTAACACTTTATACATTAAATGCCCAATGTATTGCTACACAATTAACATTACAGGTTTTGAAATAATTTTTAAAAAATTTTTAAACGTCTTTTAAGGATTTTGGTGTTTTCTCTTCTATAGAGCCAACAGAATATGTAAATCATTTATTCCAATTGGGAGTTAATGGAGAAAATAATTCTTCGAAACAGCGTGGAAAGGGTTGGGATAAATTGGCTGAATTTGAGGTAGAAAATAAATTTTTTTAGAAAATTATCAGTTTTTTTTGTAAAGGTTAGATTGAATTTAAAATTAATTCAAAACTAAATCCTAATTCACATTTTACTAAATAGGGTTGCCGTTTTCGAGTCGGGCCGACGTTTGAGTCATTTTTTCGGGCCTGTCCGACCGAGTCTTTTTGGGGCCAAAATTCGATGCCCGACTCAATCTTTCGGACCGGGCCGGCAACCCTATTACTAAAAAAATAATCCATCCCAAATTTTTAAGGAAAATACCTAATCTATTCTTATCATCATTTAGATTAAAAAAATCTTTTTTAGTCTCTATTCAATCGAGAAATGTGGTGGGTAGCAACAGAAGTTTGTTGTGAACGTAATGTTTATAGAAGATCTAAATTAGTTAAGAAATTTATCAAAGTTGCCAGACATTGCCATTGTATGTTTATTTACATATTTAGTTTTAATTATTTATTTTAAAGTACTTCGTAATTTAAATTCAATGTTTGCAATTGTTAGTGGTTTAGAAAAGCCAGCAGTTCGTAGACTTTCTCATACTTGGGAAAGAGTTCCAGGGTAGTTTATTCAATATTTGATTCAATTTTTATTTTTTTTAGAAAATATTTAAAAATGTTGGCTGATCTTCAACAATTAATGGACCCATCTAGAAATATGTCCCGTTATCGACAACATTTAGCTCAATTGGCACAAGAGCCTCCTTTAATTCCAATTTACCCAATACTTCGAAAAGACCTTACTTTTGCACATGAAGCTAATCCGACCTTTTGTGGACCTCGTCTTGTTAATTTTGAGAAACTTAGAATGATAGCCCAAATAATTAGAAATATCCAACGATTTAGTAGTGTTCATTATGACCCTTCTGAATTATATATTGGAAGTAATGGTGGAAGTGGAGGTGGTGGGACAGCTGAAGTTGTAAGTTTTTGCAAAATTGACAGATACTTTCGGACTTGAGATTATCTGTAGACCGTGGATATGTTATATAGTAACCTATAAAAATCCGAAAATAGCTGCCCTCGTATTGATAGCTAATCTAAAATAGGCAGTTAATCTATGTGATCACTTTAATCTTTATTTCCATTTAGATGTTCCATCATGATGCACTCGACCCCGTTAGTGCCACAATTCGTAAAGCAACTAAAGCTGGAATTGGTAATCGTTTTGGCACAAGTACTAGCAGTAATGGAGCTGGCCTTTCACGGAAGAAACTCTACGAGAGGACGTTGATGTTAAGGAGGGTACGGGCATATTTACGCTCAATGCCTCTTATTGACTCGGAGGTAAATTATTCAAAATAATATCAGCAATTCCATCGGAAACGAGGATTATCTCTTATTTTTGGGGCAACTAAAATCCTAAATCCTTTTATCTTAAATTCATTCTAAATTAAAATATCTGACAACAATTAAAGGCTAATTTGGATAAAATTTCCTTGGAAATTGAACCTCCAGCTCTCACTTCCGGTCAAAGCAGTTCTGTCCAACAATTACATCATTCTTCCTGTTCTCCTCATTCCCAACACCAAACACAACCAAGTAGTTCGTCTGCAAGTACTGCACGTAGAAGACTTCCCTCTCCATCACCTAGCAGTCTTTCATCTCAATCGAATCAATCAAGTTCTATATTCCACCAACAGGAAAAACAAAGGCAATCAATGGCTGGAGGGATAATTGGTGGTGGTGGTGGTAATGGATTGCCTAAATTTGGTAAAATAATTTTATTTTTTTAAAGCTTTTCATTGTTGTAAATATTAATTTTAAAAATTTTATAGGCGTTGAATCTCCACAGGCCGTCCAAAAAATGTTGGCCTTAGTTCAAAATTCAAAAATAAAGAGTCGACAACCCTTTTTTACTTCTTTCCATCAAAGCTCCGGACGTTCACATTTGCTTCAATCACACGGTGCTTTGTCTGCTTCTGCTGAATTGCCTCCAATTGGTAAAAATATTAAATGTATATAATTTAGATTCTTTTGTTTCTTTTAAGGTGTAGATAATCACCATTTACATATACAACAAAGAAAAAGATGTTCTGTTACAAGTAGCAGCACAACAACTGATGAAAATGTTAGTTGTAGTGGAAATAATGAAAGAGCTGTTTAAAGGAAAATCTTGCCAGGAAAAGCAGAAATTTATACCTGCATTTCTCTCTAATTTTACTTAAAAATATATTTATACTTACTAAAAAGCAATATAATCTTTATTCTTAAAATTTACCTAAAAATGCCTTTCTTTTTCCCCAATTAATTATTTTGCTCATTTCCCAGCTCTTTTTTTAATTTTTGTAAATAATATTCAGATTTTAAATTTCTATCTTTGTATTAAAATCCGTCCTTTATTTATCCCCTCATGTAGTATATTGAAATTAATATCCTGAATTTTAGAAGACTGTTTTTTAGACGAATAAAATTTGAAATATATTTTGTAAGACTGTCTTTCGTTTTGGGATTTTTTGGTTCTGATTTGCTTTTAAAGTCTGCACAAATTTTGCCTCTTAATTGGGAATTTTTGTTCAAAATAAAAGCTAAGAATTTCAGTTGTAAAGACTGCATTTCTAAATTGCAGTACTTATCTTCCAATTCGATAAAATTGGAAGAGTAGTAGTACATGTGGGAACAAACTTTCTCAAGGCAACTTTTTTTTCAATTCTGGCATCTTTAACGAAATAAATAAATTTAAAAGGATTAATTTTTTTTCAAAAAATTCACAGAATTGAGGGGATTTTATTTAGGGCATTTTTTAGCACATAAAAGTAAGAAAATTGAGAAGTAAAAATCATTCCTAAAATATTGGATATTTTTTATTTTCAAATTAGAAAGGAATTGTGCAGCTATTTAGTGTGGGGGACATTTATTAATTTTTGATAATTTTGATAATAATTTTTGACTTTTCTTAAAAACACCAATTCTCTTGTTGAATTAGCTAGGAGCAATTTATTTTTCGATCATTTATTATATGTATTTTGTTTTGTTAATTTTTATATTTTTGTTATAATTTTATCATTTTTTCAACAATTTTTAAATGGTTTGAAATTAACCAAAAAATATGTCATAAATTTTTATTTTTTTAAATTAATTTTTAAGAAGGATAATTTTTGACTTGTCTTAAAAACACCAATTTTTCGACCTAAAAATGGATGCAGCAAATCATTCTTTGTCTAACGACATAAAACCCCAAACTTCTTTAATTTTAAATACAAATCAATTGGACGAATTAACAAATCAATTAAAAATTTTAAGTATTGATGATTTGTCCATAAATAAAATTGTAGAAAATTTAAAAACAATTAAAACGGAGGTGATTTCTGACAAAATCCTTTATCTTTAAATCCCCAAAAAATCTTTGTTTAGCCACATGTAATTGATGAACTTCAAAATTTTATTCAAAAAAATGGATTGTTTGGTTTCGTGTTAAATCAAATGACCAATTGTACTTTTGACTCCAAAAAATTAAATATGTGGGTAAAAAAATCTAAAATTTAAGTCAACATCTACTCTAGCGAATATCTAATAGAGATCGGAATTTTGAAAAAACTGGGTCCGGGAACCGGGTCCTGAAGGATGACCGGGAGGGACCCGGACCGGGAATTCACGTTTCCGGTTTCATCCCGGTTGCTTAAAAACCGGGAAATAGGACCCGAAAACCATGAAACGGTTCTCTGGCCCGGACCCGTTCCGATTGCTAATATCTAAAATTAACAAAAAACTCGATCAAAAGCATTATTTTTAAATAAATTTTTAAGCAAAAATCTCCTTTTCCTTGATTAGTTTTAATATTTTTATATTTTTTTGTCAATTATTTGTTTTTTAGAAATTCAACTTGCTTTGCCGGGTTTGAACTTTATTTTGCGTCTAATTTGTTTGTAAGTTCAATCAAAATTTCAAATTTACATATATTTTTTTAAATTTTATAATTCCAAATATTTTTAAGATTTTTATTTTTTTAGTATCCAAGTGTTCTTTAAATTTATTAATTTTGTAAAATTTTATATCAAAAATTTTTCATGAAAATTGTTAAGTAAATTAATTTTAGAATATGGGTTCTTCTGTTGATAAAATTACAAAACAAATTGTTCAAACCAACAAGCTCATCAAAATTTGCAAAAAAATGCAATCGGGAGCTACGGGACAACTTTTAAATGATTTACTTGTGGAAGCCGACCGTTTGAATAATCAAAAAATTCAATTATTTTATATACATCAACGACTTATTACTAATAATGGGATTAAAATTAATCAACTTGAGCAAGAAGTACAGTTATTCTTTGTTCTCGAAATAAAAATATTTTTATAATTTGTAGCAAAATATGTAATGTTTAAACAAGCTGGAACGAACCATGATGTTAACTGGAATGAATTTAAATTTTATATTAACTTAAGAATTAAACAATTTAATTTTTCAAAGGACAATTGCTTAACGTTTTAATTTTTTTAAATAAATTTCGAATTTTCACTTTTTTATGATTTTACGTTGCCGTCGACACAATCTTCGTCGCATAATTAGGAAAAAGCTTTAGTCCACTTTTGCTTCTATTGAATTTTTTCCTATACTTGTCATCTCATTCATGGTTAAGGTGTAGTGTTCTTTAGTTAGAAGTTTTCTCTGATTCGAAAACTCATCAAGTTCGATTGGACTCATAAACTGTAACAGCGCCCTCTTTTCCACGTTCTCTTTCCATTTTGATATACGGTGCTTCGCGTCGAACCGACCGATTTTATTTGTTGTTGAAATGTCTAATTATTGAAAAGTCAAAACATCTAAAAGTAAAATGCCGATACCTAAACGATACAGATCAATTTTTAGTAGAAAATTATTTTAGGCATTTCTTTGGTTTTATTATTACTAACATAAATATTTTAATTTAGTTTTTTATAGTACAAAAATGGAATCTTCTGTAAATGAACATGTTACTGGAACTTCAGAAATGTCAGAATCACTACAACAACAAATTCAAAGTTCAAAGATTTCTCCAGAACAGATGCGTCAATTAAATGCACAAATAGCAGCTTACAAGATGCTAGCCAGAAATGAACCATTACCCAGACAATTATTGAACCAAGCGAATGACAGAAAGAATGATTCAAATGCTCTTCCGCTTCCATATGAATATCCTTATGAACTTCCGAATGGCGAAAAGCTTCCTTATGATTTAAGCAAAATATTAGCCATCCACCAACAACGAACCACAAATCGAACAACTACATTACCTTTACCACAAGGGATTGATCCAGAAATTATTTGGCGTGAACGCGAAAATAGGTTATTATTTATTTAATTTTTCTGATTTTCTTTTAGAATTCAAAATCGAATTGCTCTTCGAATAAAAGAATTGACTGAATTAACAATGGATATGCCACCACATTTAAGAATGAATGCTGAAATTGAACTTCGTGCTTTGCGTCTAGTAAATTTACAAACTCAAGTTAGTTTTCAACGCCATATTTTTTTTTCATTCACAAATTTTCCTCAGGTTCGCAGTGAAGTTCTCAGTTATTTAAAACGTGATACTTATCTGGAAACGGCACTTAATCCATATGCTTATCGTCGAACTAAAAGACATACCCTTAGAGAGGCTCGTGTTACTGAAAAGTTGGAAAAACAACAAAAGGTTGAACAAGAACGGCGCCGTAGACAAAAACATTCGGAACTGCTTCAAGTAATTTTTTGAAATTTTCTATTGACTATATTATTTTTATAAAGGCGATAGTGCAAGTCAGCAAAGAATTTAAAGATTTTCATCGAAATGCACAGGCAAAGACGACAAAAGTTCGAAAACATATGCAGAATTGGCATGCAAACAGCGAAAAAGAACGTAAAAAGGATGAGCTACGAAATGAAAAGATGCGTATGCAAAAATTGATGGAAGAAGACGATGTTGGTTATAGACAATTATTAGACGAAAAGAAGGATAAGAGGCTTGTGTATTTGTTGGCCCAGGTAATTTATTAAATTTTTTTGAAAATATTTTGTTTAAAAGACTGACGAGTATGTTGAAAATTTAACTGGACTTGTAAAGCAACATCAAGTTACTGAAAAGAAACGAAAACGTGATGAACGTAGTGAAGCAAAAAAGGCACTTAAACAACAACAAGGTTGATTTGAATTTTTATTAGAAAATATTTTTTTGAATTTAAAAGGTAATAATGAAAGTGATGAGCTTCCAGTAATTATTCGAAACGGGGCGACTGGCGAAATTTTGAGAGGTGATGCTGTACCTAAACCAGATGAGGTAGAGGAATGGCTTGCGTCACATCCTGGTTATGAACTAATCTCGAGAGATATTGCTTCTGATTCTGAAGATGAGGGGGAAGAAGCTGTAGAAACAACTAAAAATGAGCAAAAGGAAGACGATTGTGAAGGTTATTTTATAATAGTTTTTAAATGAAATTGACGGGTTAAGTGAACATATTTTTAGAATTTTGTTCTTTTCTTTCAGGTCTCGATGACGAACAACGAAGTCGACGAATCTTGGAAAAGGCACGTAATGAGGAGGATGAATATGATTCGAAAAATCAACGTCAACAAATGGAATCATATTATGCCACTGCACATCGGATTAAAGAAAAAATAGTGAAGCAACATAGCACACTTGGAGCTTCTGATCCGAACTTGCAATTGAAACCATATCAGGTTAATTTTAATTTAAGGATTTGTTTTATAATTTTTTTTAGATAAAAGGACTTGAATGGCTTGTGTCGTTGTACAATAATAATTTAAGTGGAATTTTGGCAGATGAAATGGGTCTTGGGAAAACAATCCAAACGGTTTTTTATTTTTAATATTTTTATAAAACTTTTGTAGGTTGCTTTAATCACTTACTTGATGGAAGTTAAGAAAGTTAATGGACCTTATTTAATAATTGTTCCCCTCTCAACTATTTCAAATTGGAAAATTGAATTGGATAAATGGTCACCGCATGTTGTGAAAATTATTTATAAAGGAGATAAAGACCAACGAAAGAGATTGGAACCGTAAGTTTTTTTGGTGGATTTATTGAGAGATTTTCTGACACTTTTTAATCTGATTTAAATTTTAAGAATTGTCCGTAAAGGAGCATTTAATGTTTTGTTGACTACATACGATTATGTTCTAAAAGAAAGATCTTTGTTAGGAAAGGTTTAATTAATGTAAATTTAATTCAAAAATTATTTTAAAATATTTAGATTCGCTGGAAATATATGATAATTGACGAAGGTCATCGAATGAAAAATCATAATTGCAAACTCACCTTAACTTTGAATGCTTATTTTTCGGTACAACATCGTCTTTTGTTAACTGGAACACCTCTTCAAAATAAATTGCCAGAACTTTGGGCTTTGTTAAATTTTTTGCTTCCAAATATCTTCAAGTCTTGTGGGACTTTTGAACAATGGTTTGTTTTTTTAAAGGAAATTTACAATAGGTAGTAAAATGCCGAAGACAGAAATTAGGTTTCCCGGTCGATGCTTAAAATGAATTGACACGGGAAGTCAGACCAATTTAAGATTTTTGATTAGGGGACGCCTAATTGTAAATTCCTAGACGAACAGATGCATAGTAAAAATAACTTTAGATTTAAAAACGAAAAATAAAATTTTTAGAGATATTGACTTAAGAATAATTAATTTACCTTAAAAATTATATTATAATTTTCACTTTTTGTGACACAAAATTCTTTAATAGGTTTAATGCCCCTTTTGCCTCTACCGGCGAAAAATTGGAATTAAATCAAGAAGAAACAATGATTATTATTCGTCGTCTTCACAAAGTTTTGCGTCCATTCCTCTTGCGTCGTTTGAAGAAAGAAGTAGAGTCACAATTGCCTGAAAAGACAGAATATGTGATTAAATGTGATATGAGTGCACTTCAACGAGTTGTTTATAAGCATTTGCAAAAGGGTCTTCTAATTGATTCGAAACATGTGGTAAAATTTTATTTTTAGTTTTGGAGCATTTTTGGCTTTTAGACATAAATTTATAATTACTAGAGACCGACGCGGGACTAGATCCCGATGGGATTTTCCGGGATCCCGAAATCCCGGGTTTTTTTTATTTTCGGGGTCCTGGATTTTTTTGGGATTTATTCCTTGGGATCCCGTCCCGGCATCGGATTTTTCCGTTCGTTTTTAAATTCCTCATTTAATTTAAGCAAGGTGGACGTGCTTTAATGAATACTGTTATACATTTACGTAAACTTTGTAACCATCCTTTCCTCTTCCACAGTGTTGAAGATGAATGCCAAAGTTTTTGGAAGGTTAAAGAAGTTAGCGGGTATTTAATTATTTAAATTTTAATTTTTTAACAACTTCCTTTTTAGGAAAGATCTTTATCGAGTATCAGGCAAATTTGAATTACTTGACCGTATTTTGCCAAAATTGAAAGCAACTGGCCATCGTGTATTAATTTTCTGTCAAATGACACAATTAATGAATATAATGGAAGATTATTTTAAAGTATAACTTTTTTGGATTTAAAAAATAATTTTTTATTTTTTTAGTATCGTTATTGGAAATATTTACGTCTGGATGGAAGTACAAAACACGAAGATCGTGGAAATCTTCTTAAGGAATTCAATACTCCTGGATCAGAATATTTTCTTTTTATGTTGAGTACTCGAGCTGGAGGTTTGGGTTTAAATTTACAGTCTGCCGATACTGTTATTTTGTTCGATTCTGATTGGAATCCGCATCAGGTTTATTTAAATTGAAGAGTTTAATAAACATTAATTTTAGGATATGCAGGCACAGGATAGAGCTCACCGTATTGGTCAAACTCGCGAGGTTAATATTTATAATTTTTATTGGTGCTGGTCTGGGTTCAAAATAATTTTACGGGCTTTTTGAACTAATTTCTGTTTTGGAAAAAATTTTCAAATCAGCAATGTATTCCCTAAACTCCTCTAAATTCTAATCTTATATAATATTTAATTTTAGGTGCGTGTTCTTCGTTTGATTACTGCTAATAGTGTTGAGGAAAAGATTCTTGCTGCTGCACGTTTCAAATTGAACGTTGATGAGAAAGTTATTCAAGCAGGAAAATTCGACCAACGGTCCACTGGTGCAGAACGTCAAAAAATATTGGAAGAAATTATTCAGGCAGAAAATGATGATAACGATGAAGATGAAGTTCCAGATGATGAAGTTATTAATCAAATGATTGCGCGTAGTGAACAAGAATTTGACACATTTCAACAAATGGATATTGATCGTCGACGTGCTGAAGCAATGGAATGTCGTCGAAAGCCTCGACTTATAGAAGAAAATGAAATTCCTACTTCTATTATTGAACAACATCGTAAATTTACTGAAAATGAAGATAAGGAAAAAGAAGGTAAAGAAAAGCAAACACAAGCTCTAGAATTCTCAGAAACTGGACGTCGAAAGAGGAAAGATGTTAATTACTCACAGGCAAGAAAAAAAACATTTCTTTAAAATTAGTTCAAATTATTTTTAAGGATTTGATGACTGATAAAGAGTGGCTTAGTCAGATGGGTGAAAGATGGGAGGATACAGAAGACGATGAAGATATTTCTGAATTAATCCCAGGAAAGAAGAAAAAAGGAGCGGGACGCAAGAAGGATGGGACTCCGGAATCTGGAGAGCCGGCAAAACGTGGTCGTAAACGCAAGAAGGCGATGGACGAAGAAGTATTAATTGTTTATTCTTTATTTTCTATTCTAAATATTTTTCAGAGTGGGGCTGGTTCCGGCGACGATAGCAATGCAGGAACACCCGTTCCTGGTAGACGAGGTGTTGCAGCGAAACGTGCAAAAGGTGCAAAGATGCCGCCCTCAAATCCCAAATTTACTGAGAAACTGCTTACTTGTTTGGATACATTAATAAGTTATAAGGACAGGTTAATTTAGTTTTTTGTATGTTTTAAATAATTATTTTTTATTTTAAAATTTAAAGTAGGGGCAGAGAGTTATCTGGTCCTTTTATTCAATTACCATCTCGTCGTGAATATCCAGACTATTATGAGCAGATTGAACATCCAATGGATTTGAATCGAATTCGAAGAAAAATTAATGATGACAAATATACTTTATTAGAGCAAATGACTTCTGATGTTAATTTACTTTGTGATAATGCCCAGGTTTTTTTGGGAATTTTTAAATTAATTTTTTAAAATTATTTAGCGCTTCAATATTGAAGGTTCAGACATTCACGAAGACTCAAAATTGCTTAACATTGTTTGGCATCGAATAGTGGAAGCAGTAAGTTTACAAGAACAGCAACAACAAAAACAACGACAAGCTGCAACAACAACAAACACAATAATTCCGATAAAACAACAAGAATCACAACCTTCGACTAGTAATGATACTCCACCCGTTCTTCAACCAATGACTGGATCTATGGAAATAATAAATGATGAGCAAGCATCGAATTCTGCTTCTACAGATGAGACATTGACAAATCAAGAGAAAAAATGTGAATAAGAAAAGTGGGTAGGATTTGAAGGAAAAAAATTTTTTTAAATAAAAAATTAAACGTTTTTAAGTTTAAATTTGACTTCTTTTTTTGATGTTTTAAGTATATATAAGTAACTCTTTTTCTATAAAAATGTAAAGAATATTTTTTGATTTATCCAATTTTTTTTAAATATTATTCTTTAATTTTTCATTAGTAAAATTATCAATTAAAATTAATTAAATATTCGATATTCTTGTTTATAAGCGGTTTGTCAGTTTAGAGAAATCTCCATTGGAAATTTAAAATTTATTTTCTCACCTGTTTTTAGCCAACGCGTTTACCCAAAACTTTTAGAAAAATTTATTAATGCCACTATAATCATAAAGGATGAGAGTATAACTTAAATTTTCCAATTTTTAGCCTTCAAAGTTGCTTCTTTTTAAATTTATATATTAAATAATTTATTTTTAAATACATTCGAATCTCGATAAAACGTCTCGTTCGGGGCTTAATTTGGAGATGTATGTATAAGTACAGAATTGATATCCAAATAGCAATAATACGCATCTAGGTAGTTAATTAAAGGGGACACTCCAGGTACCGCAGTCCAAAGTAGCGCAGAGCAATAACGTCGTTCAAACTTGGCGAATCCTGGACGCCCTGGTACAATTCGATTCAGTCAACATACCAAGCTTTCTATAATTCTACAATCCTTTCATAATTTAAATTAACACATTTTATAAAGGTCAAAGGTTATATAAATGTATTATTCAAAATTATTCTCTACCATTTTGTTAATTATTTTATTTACCCCTTCAAGTGATGCTTTTTTCTCAGCATTTTTTCAAAAAATCAAAAACAATATTTTAGGGGAAGAAAATGAGATTTGTAAGTTAATTAAAAAATAATTTTTAACAATTTAAATAAAATAAAAAGCTGGGAATGATGTTGTCGACAACCATCAAAACAATTTAGAGCCTCCTCCAATTAATCCAAATCAGTTTAGTGAAAAGAATGAAAATTTTGTTACAGAAAAAATAGGAGAAAATAAGGGGGAAGATGAACAACAAAATAAGCATTTATTGGGAGGTTATTATGATCAAAAATATCAACATTTTGGATTTGGTGGGCCTAAAAAGGAAGAGAATATTGTAAAAGAAAATGAAGAATTAAATGATAAACCAGCAGAGACTGAAGAAATTGGAAAAGTAGAGGAAGGGAATGAAGAAGAAAATGGTTTGGGGTTTTCTATAGGAAAATGTAAAAAAAAATTTTTTTTCAGAGGAGGATCGTTTATTTGCTCGAATTGCCAATTGGTTTAAACAAAATGCTGCAGAAATTTTAACTAAAGGAAAAAATTTCTTCAAAAAAGGTAAAAAATCAGAAACTGGGAATGAAGAAGCAGATGAAAAATAATTGAAATTTTGAGGAATTTGAGAAAATTTTTAATATTTTTAAATGGTTTAACTAAATATAATAAAATTTTTAAGTTGTTTAAAGCAATAAATAAATATTAATTATTAAATTTAATATAATGGTTATAGATTTTTAACACTTAAATGGTACTATATGAATAATCATAGTCCTTTATAGTTTTTATTAAAATATTTTATAATTTGTGACTTACTAAAATTTGTATTTGTACATGTACCTATTACAAAAGTACAGGAAAAATTAAGGTCTGTACGAAGTAGGAGTTTTTTAAATTTGCAAATACTTTATATTATTTTTGGCTCCGGTACAAAATATGGAATCGTTAAAATATGGAATGGTTAAAATCGCGAAAAGGCTAAAAAGGGGTTAAAATACCGAATCGTTAAAATATGGAAACGTTAAAATATCGAATCGGGTAAAAAAGGGTTAAAATATGGAATCGTTAAAATATGGAATGGTAAAAATGTCGACACGGCCAAAATCGGTCAAAATGTCGAATTCTTTTAAAAAAGGGTCAGATGAGTGCCATACATTGATTATTGATAATTTTATCAACTTATCAACTTATTGATGATAAGTTGATTGATAAGTCTCTTATGTCGTAGTCCGGCGCAATCTTTTCTGCCCGAGTTCAGTGTATTTTACGGAGTAAAACCGGACCGGATAAATTAAGCATAATCGACACCGGATCCGGTCCGGCATGATCGTACGGATCCGGAAAACATAACGCGATCCTGATATGGAAAAATTATAGTGGTGTGCATTAGTTTTTAGTTAAGACCTAAAGTTTGACCTTACCGTATACGGTATGGAATACCGAAAAACACCGATCAGCTTTTAAATTTTATCGGAAGGCATTCCGTACCGTACAACCGACACGGAATACCGAAAAATACCATCGGTATTACGGTACCGTCCGGATTCTAGTTTTGGCGCCATTTTTAAAAAATTCGACATTTTGACCAATTTTGGCCGTGTCGACATTTTTACCATTCCATATTTTAACGATTCCATATTTTAACCCTTTTTTAGCCTATTCGATATTTTAACCATTCCATATTTTAACGATTCCATATTTTAACCCCTTTTTAGCCTATTCGCGATTTTAACCCCTTTTTACCCGATTCGAGATTTTAACCCTTTTTTAGCCTATTCCATATTTTAACGATTCGATATTTTGTCCGGACACGTTATTTTTCCTCCTATTTTGTGTAAATTAACGGTACACCTCAATTGAGTCCGCACGATTGAGTCCGCACGATTGAGTCCCCACGATTGAGTCCCGGCACGATTTAGTCCCCACGATTGAGTCCGCACGATTGAGTCCCCGTTGTATATACCTCAATTGAGTCCCCTAGATTTAATTATATTAAAAAAGATTAAGAGGGATATTTGGGGATTTGGAGGGATTAATGTTAATATCAGGGGACTTGTATGCGACATCGAGGTATCAAGATGGATATTGGTGAATATCAAGTGATATAAGTAGATTTAAGCGGGGATATCGGTTGAATTAAGGCAGATATCAACAAATTCGGAGAGATTAAGATGGATATTGTGGGTTTGGGGATTAGGAGGGATATCGAGAGATTTTTTGAATGACAGCTCATTCGAAAGTATTGAGTCGAATGACACGAAAATCAACATTGTTGAACAAGTTCTCGCCGAGATATGGGGCTCGAAATGGTCATCCATGGGGAATTTTTGTTGCGAAACATTCGAATAAACAAAAAATAGCTCATTCGAAAGGACTCGACGAGCTGAGTTGAGTGATACCAAAATCAGCTCGAAATCAGCTCGATTCAGCTCGACCTTCTTAGCCTTCCATTGGCTTCTCCTTTCAAAATTCGAAAAGCTTTGCATGTGGTGCATGGATTACGATTATTAAGAGGGATTTGGAGAAAAATAGGGTTGTCAGGGAGGGGTCTCTTAATTTGTCTCTTAATCCACTGATATACCTCTTAATCCTCTGTTATCTATTAATTCCTCCCTTAATCTGTCGAAATCCACCAATATTATTTCCAAATCCGACGATATTCAACATATTTATAATTAAAAAATTTTTTAAATTAAAATCCCGGAATCCCGCGGGATCCCGGTAAATTTGAGAACGGGATTACTGGGACTCCGGGATTAACGGGATTAATCCCGCGGGATCCCTCCCGTTCGATATTTTCAAACTCAATCCCGTTACGGGATCCCGGAAATGCGATTTTGCCGATCTCTAATGCAGGATATGGAATTTTTAAAATTAAATCCACGGGGACTCAATTGAGGTATATACAACGGGGACTCAATCGTGCGGACTCAATCGTGGGGACTCAATTGTGCCGGGACTCAATCGTGGGGACTCAATCGTGCGGACTCAATCGTGGGGACTCAATCGTGCGGACTCAGTTGAACTGCTCCGGTAAATTAAATATTTTTTTTGTTAAATCAATTTATTAATTATTAATCTACTAAATATGTTATTTTAAAGAGAATTTATATTTTAATTATTTTAAAGCATTTTTTATTTCAAAAATTTCTTCATATTTAATTCTTCTTTGAAGACAAATTACAGTCACACTGTCCGGCACATTCTTTTTTAGCTTTTTCTTTGTCCTTTTCATTCTTTTCTTGCTTTAATTAAAATTTAAAAATTAAATTTAAAAAATAAAATAATTTTTACATTAACACAATTAATATAACATTCTTGACCCTAAAAAAATAATTTTTTAATTAAAATAATTAATTAACTAACCGAGCAGCTAAAACGTTTAACTATACGGTGTGGTTTGTCTTGTTGTTGTCCAGTAATTAATAACATCTTAAATTATTATTTTTAAATTTATTTAAAATCAAAATCTCTGCAATTTTATATTTTCTAATTTTCTCTATAATATTTTATTGGGAAAGAGCTGAATTTGGGCTTAGGCGGCTGGAAGCGAACCAGCATCTTTAGTTGACTGGACTAATTTATATACAATTTATTTTGGTGGTATCCCTTATGCACCTCCGTAAATTTAATATACTTTACAAGAAATTGTCCAACAAAATTAACCAATTTACTCTAAGTTAAATAGATAATTCTGAAATATCATGTATATAACCCCCCAATCACCTACAACTCTCTATTTAGAATTTCCTTCCAAACCGATATAAAACCTTTCCCTCGAGATCGAGAGGTAAATATTTGTGTAATTCAAATATACCTAATTTAAAAGTCAATTACCTGTAATCCAGGCTGTGAAAGATGTGTTGGATGTGAAATAACAACTGAAGCATCCTCCTAATTAAATAAAAATTTAAATTTAAATTTTTAATTAATTTACTTCAAAAGATAAAATCACAAAAAATATAAAAATTTTAATTGGGAAATATTTTAGACAAAACATTTTTTAAAATTAATTTTTGTTTATTAAAATTTAGGGAAATGAAAATAAAGATCTTAAGGAGAAAAATATTTGTTAAAAAGCAGTTGTCTTTTTAAAAATAATTTTCGAATATCAGATGACGATAATCCTCAATAAATTAATTTTAATTAATTAAAAGTAAAAGAAAATATTTTTTGATTTTTTTGTTAAAAAATTAAAGATTTAATTAATTAAAGACTTTAAAAAATTAAGTTTTAAAGGTTTATTTATAGTTAAAAATTGATATGATAATATTTGATGAAAATAATTCTAAACAAAATTAAAGAAAAATTTATATTAAATGAGAGTCTTGTTACTCACTACATGTCCTTATAAATCTCAAGCTCCAATTTGTATGTTAAATTTAGAAAGAGTTTAGCAAAAGTTTAGCCACCGCGCAGGATCGAACCTGTGGCCTGATAGTGATCGCTCGGCTTTGCTCACACATACAGGTGGTCTACCACTGAGCTACCAGGGCGACAACTAATGCTTTCTCTTTTATCCTTTTAGATCGTTTAACCCCCGTCTAAGCGTTTTAAATGCTCTAGGCGATCATCCTTACAATTAAAAATTTTTAAAGTTTTTTTTAGGACGTAACCTTTCCCCTCGTTAACTGTGTCCTATTTAATGATAAAAAATAACTTTTAATTGTTAATTTTATTCATTCTTGTATTATTTTAACATATTTTTGTTATTTATAATTTTTTATTCCTCATCCATCAAGCTGATCAAGTATTGGTTGTGGACTACGACGAGAACGGAGCCCTCCTTGGTCCCATGGCTATAATATACTTAATTATTTAATTAAAGAACAAAAACAAACATCATCTAATCCCACTCCACCTGTTGGAAAAATTTTTGCTTGATAAGCTAAAGCAAAGGAAAGAAAAAATAATAAAATTTGGATAACCGAAACCATTTTTTGAATTTTTAAAATAATTTTTTGAATGAATTTTGAATGGATTTTTTAATATTTTTATATCAAATAAGTTTTGTGAAATAAAATTTAAAATTTAAATTCTAATTTTTTTAAATTTTGAATTAAATTTGAATTTAAAGATTTAAAATGCATGCCTAGAATTATTAAAAATATTTTAATATTTAAAACCAATCCTCATGATTAATATTATTTCATCCAAGCTTTAAAATAAATATAAGGTACAGGCAAGGGAAAATCATTTAAAAGACTAGTAGTTTATGATCGTAAAGGTGAAGAAGTTTAAGGAAAAATCGGGAGAACTTGATGAACAATTTCATCAAAAATATTAACTGTTTTCATAATATTTATTCAAGTTTTTAAAAATATTACAAGTTGAATTAAATAATTGAGGAGGAAATAATTTTATTAATAAAATTTTTTTCAAAAAATTTTTCAACTCATTTCTTTAAAACTATTCATTGAAATCACTAGTTGTTTTTGGGGATCGACACCCCTGCTTCACTTGCTTAATGCCATTCCTTGATGTACGCGATTGCAAACTCCTAGAATTAAATAAAAACTAATTTAATAAAAATAATGATTAAATAATCTGAGGTGACAAAATTCACAGGTAAATTGGACCCACACCGTTTGTCTCGATTGTGTAGCAACCACCCATGCTTGCGTATTAAAACAACTAGCATGGTTGGATGCCATGTGATTGAGACGAATGTTATTACTCACAACATGGAGGTGCA